GAATTTGAACGGATGGTGTTTTTGGCCTCTAGGGACCTCAAAACGAAAAAAAAAATCGGTCCCGCGTCCAGGTCTTACCATGAGTACTACGGTAATAGCTTATTCCCTATATGGGAAATTCGCTAAAAACTAGGCTAAATTTCTTTATGGATTTATTTGATTTAATTTGTCAAATTAATTTATTTTATGACCTTTTCTCAGCTCGTGTGCATCGCAGGGAAAATCTACACATATTGTTTAGAATGATATTTTCCTGTATATGTGCAGAACCCCTCTATGAATTAAAATAGTCTCAACATTGAAAACGAAAAAATAATTTTAAATTAAAAAAAATAACATGGGCCTTATGGGTTGCCATGCTGGTGACGAAGTATAAACAGAAAACCAAAACTAATGGAAGAAATTCCAATCACATGTTTTATTTACAGCGTGGGGTGAAAATAGTCTGTACACATTACATATTTTTAGTCGCGTTTTCGACCACTGGACGACCTCTAGTACATATAAATACAAAGGTTTTATTTACGCATACAAACAAAAAAACTGGTGCAAACTAATGTACTCTCATGCTCGATCTATTCCAAATGCCACTCGTACAGTGTAGTGGGTAAGTTAATTTTCCCGCGACTGAACATATGTTATTTTTGTGCACCGGGCCACGATGATGGGCGGGGGGGGGGGGGTATAATCCCCCCTTGGTGTCAAGTTACCTTTGTCACGTAAGAGACTCAGGGTTGACACGTTGCACAATGGGGTGATAACATCAACAACGCGTCAACAGCTAACGTGCGAGTGTGCGAATGTTGTTACAGTGGCTAGGGGTTGGATTTAAATCACGCGGTGTTAGCTTTGTATTTGATACACGAACTAATAAATATATAGTAGCGTCGATTTTGGATACTACAACCACTAACAATAGAGTAATTATACGTAGTAAGTTTTGTATGCCTACACACAATTGTATGATGTACCTTCACTCACATCCTAGGACGCTAGGACTCTAGGTTTTAGTTCGGAACTGTTATACACATAGTTAGTTTCGTGATGTTTCAGTCCAGGGAGCCGAAACCCCGCCAGACCGAAGCTGTTCTATGACCATGTCCTCTTCAGCCTGTATTACTTCAGGGTAGTCCACTGTAGAGTGTTGCAGCATCACATAGATAAAATCTATTGGTGATTGGCGGGATTTGAACCTGGGACCTTATTACAGAAGCCCCGAGCTCTACCGGAAGACCAGCTAGCTCTCCCAATAGGTCTAACAAGACCGCATTGTCTGTACTGCATTGTCTGTGTTACAGGTATAATTAATTGCCATACTGTAAAGTTATTGTAGCAAATATGTGACCAAAACCTCCGATTATTTGTATACAAGCTAGTCAGTATTGGCGATAGTTTGCGACACCAGGCTCGATCGCCGGCTCCATTTGATCCTGTAGTCCGCTACCTAGTCCTGCTTACCTAGTCAACTATATGTCTATATGTGTCGCTCGTGTGAGCCGTGTCTAACGGCAGTCTCCGAGGCCCCGGGTTCAAATCCTGCTAATCAACAATGGATTTTATCTATTAGTTATGTTGCGACCCCTCTACAGTCCTAGCCTGAACAATGTGTAAAACAAAACTGTTCCTATCTTAGTCACTAACAAGACTATAAGATCGCCCCACTCATCCTACACTCATCTCCATTCATTCATGGCTTAAAATACCTATATTGTATGGTCGCCATTTCAATGAAAATTATTAAAGCCTAGAGTCCTAGATGGCCAAAAATATTATCTTCATTTAACGGATAAGTAGTTTTAGATTATGAAATTGGAACTTAAATCAGTCCAATACAGAGTGTCCTGGAACTCTCTACCGGACCGGCCTATAAGGTGTCATTCTTGGACCAAAGAGTGTTTGACTATCTACTAGATAGTGGGAATCACTATCTCACCCCGAAATGGGACTTTCGTGACGAGTATTGAACGACACTTTTTATCACGATGAAAAAAAAAAATACTTCATCAAACTTTAAAAAAATCTGATATTTTGACATCTATTCATTTTTTTTCAGTTGCAATTTTGTTGATGTCAAGCAAAGTATTGTTTGTGTAGCGACAAGGTAATGTTTATGTAGCGAAAGTAATGTTTATGTAGCGAAAGTAATGTTTATGTCAGGAAAAGTCAGCTGATCACTATTTGTTTTGGGGTATCTCCATTGCTGTTCAATTTAGCCATAGAAACAGCTCTTCAGGAGATAAGAAAAACAGAAGTAGGGATTAAGATAGGAACAAACATAAACTTGCTAGCTTTTGCAGATGACATAGTATTAATTACACATAATATAGAAGAAATGAAAGATGTAACAAAAATGCTTATTGAACATACAAGAAAAATGGGGCTATACATAAATGAAGAGAAAACCAAGTTTATGACATGTGGAAGAAAACAAGATGATGACCAACCAAGATACCAAAATAACAACTACATTGAAATTGAAAAGTATAAATTTAAAAAAGTAACAAATTTCAAGTATTTGGGAGTCATCCTCACCAGTGATAATGATGAAGAGCTAGAAATTCAAAATAGATTAAACCTAGCACAAAAAAGTTTTTCGGCCTGTCACAAGTTACTGACTTCAAAAATAATATCCCACACCACCAAACTCAGGATTTATAAGACAATCATCAGACCAGTTCTCCTGTATGGTTCAGAAAATTGGATCTTAAGCAAGAAATCAGAAAGGAAAGCTATCGTATTTGAGAACAAGATTTTGAGGAAAGTGTACGGACCGATTTTTGAGGATGGACAATGGAGATCGAGACATAATTAGGAACTTAGAGAATTATTTAAGGATCCGGATATTGTCGCTGAGGTACGGAGCAGAAGACTGAGATGGGCAGGGCATATTCTAAGAAAAGATGACATCTCCCTATCAAAGAACATCTTGAGGAATAACCCAGAAGGTAGAAGACCCCTTGGAAGACCGAAACTTAGATGGTTCGACCAAGTGGAGAAAGACCTGAGGAAGCTAGGGAGAAGGAAGGAAGATGCAAGAAGCAGAGACCTATGGAGGCAGTGTGTTGGGGAGGCCAAGTACCATCTAGGGTACCAGTGGCCACAGCAGTAAGTAAGTAAGTAAGTATGGAAATTGACGATTTTCGAAGATCTCAGCTTTATGGAAATGGGCTATTTTCGAATACAGAATGATGAATAGCGATCTATTCTATGCGTAGATTTTCCTTACGATGCACACGGGCTGAGAAAAAAGGTTTTCAAGAAACATGCTTTACTATTAATAGATAACTTGTATTCATAAATTTAATCGGCAACGTTGTCAGCAGTGGGACGTGCTCCAGGATTGCCACTCCAGCAAACACAGATATTCAACAATCAACACGACAGTGGAGGTTAGGTTAGGGTCTTGATTCAATAATGTGGAGGGTGCTAATCCCGGGCGCTTACACGGGTTTGCGCCATTTCATAAGCGATTGAGTTGTAACTTGAAACTCCCTCTTGACAACCCCCCCCCCCATCAAAGGGCAACTACCTGTCCAAACCCTCTGTCTCATCACTCAACGTGTCTTCTGTGTTTTTTTAAACGAATTCTTTATTTATAAATTAAATGGTAAAAGGTATAAAATGGTTTCATAAATTAAATGGTTTTTGGCACTGTTTAGTGTTAACTGTTACTATTCCTTGGAACCGGTGGTAGCGAGAACCATTCGTGGTAGCAACCACGAATACTAGCAACACATTACTATTTACAACTTATATCGTTGTTGTTGCATCTTTTTTATTAGTCATATTAAAATCAATTGATGTCTTACTGTATAAGTTTTGCGTTTTCTATCTCGATTCCAAAATGTTATTTCATATGCTATAACAATTTTTAGTTTTTAGTACTTCATTTCTTATAGTATGCTGCCATTTTGACATTATTTCGATTTCGAGTCATCTTGGGACTATGGACATATAAATTGTTATTTCAGACGGCATTATCACTGCACAGTGCACGATATGATAACATTTAATGACACTAACTAAGATTGCAAATACTTAATTTACCTGTATATAACTTTGGTTAAAGCATAGTAAATGTCCTAGTTAAATTCCGTCTCTTCTGTGTGTGTAGATATAAAGTCAATGCTAGTATTGATGTTACCCAATAGCAGACATTGTTTGAACGCAGTACAGTAAAAATTAATTTTCACCCTTATTTATGAACCGGTTTTCTTAAAATCATTATCATTGGAATTGTAACTTAAAATTTCGGTAGAGTTCGGGGATATACTTCGGGAAGGGGTTGGAAACAGTAGGCAAAGTTTAGTGGTTTGGTTACATCAAATTCTTTGCCGAGGTCAACCAAAATTCAATTCCAGCATGACTTAAATTGTGAGATATAAAATTAACTTTTTATACATTCACTTGCTAATTAAATGTTCTGTGTTACCGTGTTACCTAGTACAGTAACAGCTATTCTCGGTGAACTTCAAAATGCCAACATTTTTACAATACTTTAATACCTGCCTTGGTTTTCCAACAAGAGAATTTGACATTTCATTGCAGTTCATTTAGTGATACTGAGAAACTAAAGTTTGGAAATTCGTAGCTTCAATTTGACATCATACTATAGATTTATCCTGTGTTATTTGGTAGCACACAAGCTTATTTGACACATCACACCCCTTCTTTTGGATTTTATGTATAGAATTTGTTCCGATTGAACGAATACTGGACAGAGGGTAAAAGGTTTAGACAAAACATTGTAAAAACACGAAGTAGAAAAGACAGATAATTTAATTTTTTCTTATTGCTCTAATAAGAAAAGTACCTGTTTAAGTGTTAATACCAAAATGAAATAGGTAGTTTGATTTAGAAATTAAGGCTCTTCAATTCTTATTTTGCCTCAATCGACACTTGGAGTTGGATTTATTATTCAGTATTTGAACAAACTAAATGGATATGAGTAAGTAGGGAAATCATAACAATCGTTGAAGGAAAATAAATAAACATTTCAATAACACTAATCAATTATTTAATATATTAGCACTTTTATAATCTTTTTAAACTCAGTTGACATAAACGAATAAATAACATGGAAGACGATTGAATAATACAAATCACTTAACGATCTTTATAGCACACCCAATAATGCTAAGAATTGACTAGGTACGAAGCTACGATGTCACTGTCACGCTTACATCAATATCCTAGTCTCTAAGATTCATATTTACACATTCTTTCAAAACTAGCTTCTATAAACAAAAGACAGCATGATGCAACATTTTAGGTACAGTAGAACCTCAATAGGCTGAATGTTAACATTACATAGTTTAGTCAGGGTACTTAAATTCCAATTAAAGAAATGTTTCCTAAACATACTAAAACATGTTACATTAATTGTTTAAAGTATTTATGCGTTTTATAAAAAACGTTGGATGATCAGTTTTATGGCGATTTATTATGCCAATGAGAACTATTATATGGGAGCAAGCTGATCTAGTGGTTGAGCGTGCGACTTCTGTTCCAAAGATTCTAGGTTCAAACCCTGCCAAACACCAATGGATTCTATCTAAGTGATAATGCATCCAAACCTCTAAATATAGCCTGAAGTAAATGTTTGAATCAGTTCCAAGCTAAAAAATAAAAAAGACGGTTTTGTTTAAACTTGCAATAGATCAAGGAACAGTGCATTTTGAACAAGGAAATATGAAATATTTCAGCCATATCTATGGATTTGATAAATATTGAGGTTTTACTGTATAAACTTTACAGAAAAATAAAGTGAACGGGAAAAACTTAGGTAATTTATATACATTTTCTTGGGAGTATCATAAACATCAGAACCAATTATAAGTTACATTGTATCAAAAAAATACTTAATCTAATGAACTTGATCTGATATTTGTTTATATCTTTGTTAAAACTTAAAACATTCGTGTTAAAAAATTCAAATTGAGTTGATTATTACTTTCATGCACTTGATTAAGAATTTCCCAATTAATTGTATTTATTTATCCTAAAACTAATTGTATAAGTATTTAAAAATAATATCTATAATTGCTTGGAAACTACAGAAACAAAATTATCAGTATATAGCACTAGTAAATAAATTTGTTCAATTTATTTTAAATTAAATACTTTACCCGGCAGTAAAGATTTGTACGATGCATAAATTTAATTTTTGAGCTCTATAAATGCTCGACTAGCTACCAAAGCATTAGCCCCTTACAGACTGATACTAACACTAACAATAAAATAATCATAAAGCAAGATATATACTTAATATTATTTAAAATTCTCTTTTATACAGAACAAACAACAATAAACAGGTCATACAAATTATCTCCTTTGTTTTTATTTTCATATTTATACATCAGAGAATGTTTTAAAGTAAACTTCAACCTTTGAAATTTGGAGTAATTGTCTATCTTTCCTTGCCTGCGTAAAACAATAATAAGTTGGAGTAGTTTTTTTTTTAGATTTACTATTTAAATAGAGTAAAAAGTGAGAGGGGTCAAAATAAATACAGAAAATGTATGAAATCAGTAACATTAATCTGAATACATTATTAATCGGTTTGTTTGATTAAGTACACCTATTGACATTATAATAATGGAGAAAGTGGTACTGTAAATAGTAAAACAGCAATTAATGCAATAGTGCTTAGACAACAATAACAATTAATTATACTTAAATTATATGTACATTTCTTTTGTAGGACTTAAGCAAAGTTGCAATTTTGAAGCATTAGCAGAATAAAATGATTTATGGAATTATTCTTTATTAGGATAATTAAATTGGATGTTACTTCAAAAGATAAAAAAAAGTAAGGCTGATCCTTAAGGTTTAGTTTGCAAGATATGCTTGTTATGAATTTTGTGAGAATTATAGTGTCAAAATAGAAGCTAGTGCCTCCTTAGTAGTACTTGGGCCGATTGCTAAATTTGTTTAAGTCCTAGCTTTTTCTTAAAACTAATTATACAACATGATGTGTCACTTCAAAACAACAATTCTTGTTTAAAAACTTTCACATGCTGTGAAAGTTTTGTCGAACATTAAAAATATAAAAATTATTCGTAAATATACTCAGCTAACATTAACAACTCAAATACTGTAAATTTGTCTGCCATAATTAGAGATTTTATATTGTAATACTATTATTTCATAACCACAACAATTAATTATTATTAATAGGCTAACTAAAAAACTGATTAGGCAATAAACTTATAAGTTTTTGTTTGCTAAATTATAATATTTAAAATAATTATGTGAGTTTAAATTCTATTTAGATATTATCACTAGAAATATACTTTTGAAAGGAAATACTCTAAAGTACAGCACACACTTTGTTATTTTTCAAGTACAGTAAATCATTAAATTGAGAAACAATTAACTTGTTTTCATTCAATAACAAAATGTGGACTACATCAGGATCCTTCTAGTAAATGGGAGTAGTAGTGTCCTTCAGTGATAGGTACCTATAAATATTGGCTACAGCTGGTCCATATAAAACAGCAGTCCATAAAAAACGTTTCAAGACTTTGGGAAATGAATCCTCATACCAAAAGGAAGAAAAAAGTGTATGTGTATGTCCGAAAATGCATATTTACCCAGTTATCCGCCATTTTGTTTTTTATACAAACATATTTTTATCTGTGAAGTTTTTCATTCAATGATTATGAAATTTGATAACCATGTTAACATACACAAGACCTATTATGGAAAAATAATAAAGTTGTTCCAATTGTAAATTTCAAAATGGCGGCCGTTTGAACTTTTATAACTTAAATAAATCAAAAACGGCTAATACTATGAAAAAACTTCAAGAATACTTTTTTTAGCATTTGCTATTCCCTATCAGACGAAACCAAGATCAAAAATATCGAACGACAAATAACTCAAATAGGACGTTTTTTAGCTGTAAGACCAGGTAAAATTAAGGGTTCCCCGACTAATTTTGCCTTATTTTAACACAAAAACCGTTATATTTCAGCATTGACAGTTATCTTTTGTCCGATTTTTTTGATCTTGCTATCGTATGATAGGGAATAACAAATGCTAAAAAAAAAGTATTCTTGGCATTTTTTCATAGAATTAGCAGTTTTTGAGTTAAAAAAATTCAAACGGCCGCCATTTTGAAATTTACAACCGGAACAACTTTATATATTTTTTTATAATAGGTCTTTTGTATGTTAACATGGTTACCAAATTTCATAATCATCGAATGAAAAACTTCACAGAAAAAAAATGTTGTATAAAAACTAAGTGGCAGATAACTGGGTATGATTTTTCGGACATACCTTCACATAAACTCTTTTCTTCCTTTTAGTATGAGGATTCATTTCCCAAAGTCCTGAAACGTTTTTTATGGACACCCTGTATATGGGATGTCTACTTCAGTATCCAATAGTCAATGGTAATACAGTGGAACCTCAATAACAAGTCCAAGTGTCATTTTCAAATCCTCTAGAATCACATGTTATTTCAAACCTTGATAACAAGTCTTATTTAATAATCCCCATGAAAGTCTTGTTATCGAGGTTCCACTGTACTATTTTTTCAAATGAGGATTGAGTTAGTATAAAAATATTACACTGTCCTTTAGAAAAACATAAAACAACTCAACACAGACTGGTAGCCTACTACAATAATAAAAAAAAAATAATAATTATAGGATAAGAGTTAATAAGTAGTCAACAGTAGTAAGTTACAGATTGAAAATCTGACTAGAGAGGGTTGTAATATATAATTAAAAAAAAAAAAACACCCTATAGTAATTTTTTTTGTAAACCATGTGAATAAAGGCACAATTTCACAAAAACTGTTATTTTATTTATCAATGGCTGCAAACAAATAATTTGTTTAGTTGGTAACAATATAATCACTATCCACCCAGGGTAGTCTAGGAGTGATTCAACAATAGCTTTATTCTTATATATAAGGATAAGAATACAGTACCTCGATAGTACAAATTTTTCCCCTACCTCTTGAAATTCATCTTATAGAGGTTTGACTGTATTTATAAATGAAATTAATATTTTGCTTGTGCTTGAAAATAATGTTGCGAATTTGGTTGAAACAATCATTAATAAAAACAATAAATAAATAAGTAAAACATTAACTACCAGTGCAGTATAATAGGTTAAATAAGTTGTTATACCAATGAATGAAAATTTACAAAATTGAAGAACAATCTTTTGTTAACTCCACCTAGCAATAGAAAAGTAATAGACTTAAAATCGCAACCATGAAACATCCATGTTTTCCATCCATTAAAAATACTGTACACAATTTTAGTTCAAAATCTTATTTTGATAAAACTTGTAAATATTGAAAACAAATATCTAGTGGTGTTTGACTATCGCTAAAACAATGAATTAGTTACCAATAGGAGAAAGTGAGATGGCTTAGAGTAATGATGAAAGCAGCACCGAGTTGATTACTCCATGGTGTCATATTGGACTTTCTTGATCTTGAAGTAGCGGAAGACGCTGTAGCCGGTAATGGTAGCGAGGCAGGCGGCGGCTAAGATGCTGCCAACGATAAGAGGTGCCGTCTCACTGCGGTACGTGCTTTGTCCTGGTGCCGGGCAATGGTATTCTGGAAAAGCGGCACATGCTAATTTATCTCTGGATTAGGTTGAAAACAATGTTCTGAATTTGAAAATAAATTGAATACTAAACTGATAAGCAGGCGATTAAATCTGTAAATTATGAAAAAATGATGACTTAACTCCAGTCAATACCTTAAAATTTATTTTAAAAGGTTGTTGTTGCTTTTCACATTGCATTTTGTCCACATAGGACGGTTCCCCTCGCATACATTTAAAATGGCAATAAGAAACTACTTTTCCTGTTACCACAGAAATTGAGACACTAATAATGGGTGAGCTTTGAAATTCCTTTGTCTTAGAATACCGCCCCGCCTGCTAGCTCAGCCACTCGGTGACACGCTATTGTAGTTCTTAGTCATGACCAAAGTGCTGTGCTGACACCGACCAAGTCTTGATTTGGAATGAAGTAAAAGTCACTCAGAGCAAGGTCTAGAATGTAGAGGGTAGTTAACGGAGAATCTCTCATTTGAATGAATAAAGGAGATCTTTTTTGTTTAAGGTCGGGCATTGTAATACAAAAAAAAAAAAATTTGGGACATCTACTTTATAGTTTGGCCATTTTGAAGCTGAATGCACAATTTTGGAACACCTCACACTCTTGGCGATAAAATTCTATCAGTTTTGAACAAAATGTCCAACAAAAACCATAATATAGATATCACTCGAAACAAATAGGTTTTTAATTGCAGCACATTTTAAAACTTTAATATTGTGACAATGGGCAGCCCAATGATACATGTGCTGTGACGGCTAGACTGTCATTGAGTAGACAAAGGCGTCTATACTAGAAAGTGTGCAATTAGCGTAAGGCGGAAAGGTTTCTGAACAGTTTTCGTACGTACTATAATAGTACCACCCAGTCACAGGATATATTTTGTAAAACCCACTTTATTGCAGATTTAACCCTCAGATTAACTAGGTTTTACCATGATTTTGCGCACAAACCTGGACCAAAGTTGCTGTTTTTAAATATAAAGGGTTGTACTTCCAGCTCTCGTAGCAGCACTGTGGCCTTAATGTCGCTACGGGGATTGGTCAGCTTGACCTCTAGTTCTCTCAGACAGGTGTAGGCCTGACCCACCGGAGTCACGTACAACAACGCGCTGTGACTCTTGGGGGTGGACAGTGTCAGCTTCTGATCTGCAAAGGTGAAACAAACAACATTAGCTTTTCATTAAATTAAAGTGATTTATTTTTAGAATATAACTAGCTGTACCCCCGGGCTTTGCCCCGTTTAACTTCATAAGTATTCGCATGGCTCAATCACGTCCTGGTTGAAGTTTGTTCGCTACGCTCACTCACTTTTAGGTTGGAGCTCGTTCGCTGCGCTCACTTGCCTTCAGATTAGCTCGTTCGCTACGCTAACTTGCCAATGCTATTGAAAATCATAGAACAGAACCAACATGTTTAATTGAAACAGCTGTTAAGATTCTTTAATTCCTTTTAAATATGAAAATTCATAAGGTTAACATGGGAAACTCCAGAGCCACTGGGGCGGAGCCCGAAAGCCCGATCAGAATAAAAACTACTTAGTTTTCTTATTTAATGCCCAAAGAATCGGTATACCGATTTTCAGCCTCCTAGGTTAATGGGAAGTGGGAGAATTAGTGATGAGTGAGTGAGTCAGTCAGTGAGTCAGTGAGGGCTTTGCCTTTTATATATTTAGATGAGGGAAATAAAGCAAATTCATTAAACAATATTGCTTGTAGATGATAGACTTCCACTGTTACAGTAGATCATCAAATCTAGGTCTTCGGGTGGTGACTACGTTGTTAAAAGAGTGAAACTAGAGGCTGACATTTTGGATGTGTAACTGCTATATCCATCTTCGGGGCGAACTTATTCAACTTATCTTTTAATGATGTGGTCATCACCCGAAGACCTAGATGTGATGTGATTGCTTGTATTATAATACTTAATGGATTAGGACGAAAATTGTTGGTGGTCAAAGTCAAAAGACATGGTTGGAACATCAAATCAAAAGTTTTACCTGGATTTTTAATGTGTTCCAGTCGAGAGCTTCCAGCGTCAAACCACAATTCTATTTTGTCGACAAACCATCTCTCTCCTCCAGGGGTCTGAAACATATCCAAATCTGTTAGTAATATTTAAATTAGAAAACAACAACTATTTAATACGGTAGTAAAAAACATTTCAATCTTTTCAGTTCTATAGTCTCAGAAAAGAAGAGGCAACAAATCGAGCACAGCATGACTCCGTAAAAGAAGCTAGTCTTGTATTTACATTCTTGTAAATACAATCAATCGTTTGTATGTATTATCTATATATTTAATACGCTAGGCATCTCCTAACAGACAGTGGAGAAAGAGGAAGCGAGAGTCCTTGAGTTCTCCTGGGGAAGGTTCAGGCGTATCACCGATGCGTAGAACCGGATCCGATAGTAACCCTGGGTCGTCTCAAAATCCTCCTTCTAAGAGAAATAAAAACTCTAATCAATCAGCAGATGGACTCGTTGCAGGAAAGGCCAGCTACAGAGATCAGCTTGTGGGTCACAAGTTGGCAGTAGCTCCAGCGGCCTATCCCGATGCGAGATTCTCTGTTGAGGAATGTGATTTGTTGCAGGACAAACTGATGGAGTTGGTGTTTGGTGATGACGGCGCCAACATTCCTCATCAGTTTGAAAAAATTTACCATGAGAAGGGTGCTCTTGTCGTAACTTGTGGTAATTCTGAAACAACTGACTGGCTAAAGAGGGTGGCACCGAAGCTGGCGCTGGGAAGTGAGGGGAGTATGGAGGTCATTGTAGCAGACTATAAGGATCTGTTGCGCACGACCAAAGTGCTCCTACGCACTGACAGGCGCTTGGCCAAGGTCGAAGCCTCTAAAGTGTTTGTTCAGATTGAGCGACAAAATCCTGGTGTCACGACAAAGGACTGGCGCGTCATTGGTGGGAAGAGGAAGGATGATCATCAGATTCTTGTTCTTGCTATTGATGAAATGAATGCGCAGGTTCTGAAAGATCGTGGCTGGATTATCTATCTGGGTCTGGGGAAAATACAGCTCAGAGTTATCTCTGGTGCTCCCTCTGATGACTCAGGTCCTTCAAGCGAACCTACAACACAGTAAGGCTGCCACGGCTGTGTTCTGTCTGAGCACGGTTAAGCAGTCCTTAGATTATGCCTTGATTCAAGAACCCTGGATCAATAATTTTAGAATTGCGGGGATGGGAACTATAAAGGGTAGCATCTTCTCTGCATCTGTACCACACCCTAGAACTTGCATTTGGGTTAAAGAGGGGCTAAAATGTAATCCAGTTCTAGAGCTTTGTTCGAGGGACGTAACAGTAATTAAGACTGTATGTACTAAATCCAACATAAATCTGCTGCTGGCCTCTGTTTACATGCCACAGGGCGACGATGGACTGCTCCCATCGGCCGAGGTCAGAAGATTGGTCGACCTCGCACACGAGTCTGGATCTGAACTCGTGATAGGCTGCGACTCCAATGCCCATAATACGGCCTGGGGATGCAGGGACACTAACAACCGAGGTAGGTCACTTCTAGAATACATAGCTTCTTGCGGCCTACTTGTTGCAAATGTAGGCTCAGAACCAACTTTTTTAAGCAGGATAGGCCAATCAGTAATTGATCTTACCCTGTGTTCGGCGGGTATGGCTGACAGGATTATTGACTGGTCAGTGTCCCTTGAGCCATCCCTGTCTGATCATAGGCACATTGTCTTCGGGTTGGGGAATTTCTGCGGCGAGGTTCGCTTATTCAGGAGCCCAGTTAAAACCGACTGGGCATCCTTCAGAGCTGATCTTCGGGGCAGAATTGCCTCGAACCTGAACACATCTCCTATTAACACAGTTGATGCGCTTGACGAGGCGGCAGATCGTCTAACTAGGTGCATAGTTACATCCTTTGAGGATAATTGTCCTTTGAGCAAGGGAAAGAGCAACAGGGCTAGTTGGTGGGGTCCTGAACTTGCCTCTCTTAGGAAGAGAGTAAGGGCCCAATTTAGGCGAGCAAAGATAACCAATAATTGGGATACATACCATACAACTCTCACAGAATATAACCATGCAGTACGTAAGGCCAAAAGGCTCTCATGGAAAAATTTTTGTGGAAATTTAGAGAGTATCAAGGATACTTCTAGAATACATAAGGTACTTGTTAGAGACAGGCATGTTACTTTGGGTGCCGTTGAGGGACCGGATGGTGTAATGGCTTTTGAACCTACCGAAATACTAAAGGTTATGGTAAAAACTCATTTCCCTGGTTGTATTGTTTCTGAAGTGCAGCAGGAGGAGGTGAGTCCAGAGCGGCCTAACCTGGGCCGTCGTGCCACTCATTCTATGTGGAGCACTGCTTGCCGCATAGTCACCTTCAGCAAGGTAAGATGGGCTGTTGGCTTATTACGACCCTTCAAATCGCCGGGTCCTGATGAGGTAAGACCTGTTTGTTTGCAGGAGGGTCTTGATACAATTATACACCCACTCTGTAAACTTTTCAGAGCCAGCTTAGCGTTAGGACACATTCCCTTAGGGTGGTGTAATTCGCGTATCGCATTTATTCCTAAACCAGGAAGGGATAGTTACACTGACCCTAAGTCATTCAGACCCATTTCTCTATCTTCTTTCTTTCTTAAGATCCTAGAGAAGTTGGTCTCAAGATATATGATGGATACAGCTCTTAGGACACATCCTTTACATATTAATCAGCATGCGTATGTCTCAGGAAGATCATGCGAGATTGCGTTGCACCAACTTGTAAGCAAGTTTGAGAAAGCTCTAGAGAGCAGTGAAGTGGCCCTGGGTGCCTTTCTCGATATTCAAGGTGCTTTTGACAATACTGGTACTCCAGCGATTCTTAATGCGGTGAGAGCAAGAGGTTTTCACGGTATAATATGTAGATGGATTGAATCCTTGCTTCTCAGTAGGAAGGTTAGGCTCTCACTCCACAATGATACGATCGAGGCAAGAACTACTCGAGGATGTCCTCAGGGGGGGTTCTTTCTCCTCTACTTTGGAATTTGGTAGCAGACGACCTTATAAGGACCCTCAACGAAAGTGGGGTTTTCGCCTTAGGTTATGCTGATGATGTTGCAATCCTTGTGGTTGGAAAGTTCCACGGAACCATAACTGACCTTATGAATAGAGCTTTAAGGGTAGTGGACCGTTGGTGCCAGGATGTTGGGCTCTCTATAAATCCCAGGAAAGTTGTAATGGTACCCTTCACAAGAAGGAGGAAACTGGACGGGATCGGCCCACTAAGACTGCAGGGTACTGTAATAGAGCTGCAGAATCAGGTGAAGTATCTTGGTGTAATTTTGGACAGATCACTTCACTGGGGACCACACCTTCAAAAAGTCATTGAGCGTGGCAAATGGTCCCTTATGGCATGCAGGCGGATGGTAAGTGGCACATGGGGGTTACAGCCTAAACTTATGCACTGGCTGTATGTATCTGTTGTTCGACCCGCCCTTACATATGGTTCGCTTGTGTGGTGGCCAAAGATGGAATCAACTATAGCTGTCAAAGCTTTAGCAGGAGTTCAGAGGCTTGCTCTTATTATGATAACTGGGGCAGTAAGTAGCTGTCCTGGAGCGGCACTTGACTGTCTGCTTGACATGCTACCTATTGACATTTATATTAAGGTGGTAGCAAGTAAAACAGCCCAACGCCTTAGATGCGAAAACTTATGGATAGCCTCAGGGAACAATAAAGGGCACTCTAAAATTGTTCAGGTGGTACATAATGATGAATTGGACTTACCTTCAGATCACATGTCCAAAAAATACTCCTTTGGAAAGCCTTTCAAAGTACTAATACCAGATAGGAAGGATTGGTCTGGCGGAAAAGGACCCATACCCACAGGTGACTTAGAATGCTATACTGATGGTTCTAAGATCAAAAATGGGGGCACTGGAGCAGGTGTGCATTGGATGAATGGAGGCACTGGTATTTGTCTTCCAATGGGGGTGTACCCAACTGTCTTTCAAGCGGAGGTCACTGCCATTCTAGTTTGTGCTCAAGAACATCTTAACAAAGATATCAGAGACAAAACAATCAATATCTTTACTGATAGTCAAGCGACCTTAAAAGCATTAAACTCTTACGAATTCAACTCCAGGCTCGTGTGGGATTGTCTTGCTTCTGTGTCTGAGTTGGGTAGGAGAAATGACCTTACGCTTTGCTGGGTACCAGGACACTCAGGCATTGAAGGAAATGAAGCTGCAGACAGATTGGCAAATACTGCCTCTGCGACATCATTGTTAGGCCCGCAACCCTTCTGTGGCATCTCACGAAACAGTGTATGTTCTGCGATTGCGTCATGGGCCAAGGAAAAGCATCGCAAACGCTGGGTCGATGTTCCCCTTCTTAGGGTCAGCAAGCTTACTCTGTTTAGGCCTTCCAAAAAGGTTGCCTGTGACCTCTTGAGACTAGACAGACGAAGAATTAAATTAATTGTTGAACTGATAACTGGTCATGGAAGATTCAGGAAACATCTACAACGGATGGGCTTATATGATGGTGAACCGATCTGTAGGTATTGTGATAGGTCAGAAGAGACAGCTGATCACTTACTCTTTGATTGTATTGAGCTCTCTGACGCTAGATCGATAACTCTTGGAAATATGGCTAGAGGTAGATTTCTTCCTGAGGATGAACTAATTGGGAAGCTACAGGCATTCATTGGGCGCCTCAACTTGTAGGTCAACAAGAAAGCAATTAAGTATCTGGGGTGCGCAATAATTCGATTTCGGATGAAGTGCTTTAAGGTCTCGACCTGCCCCTGTCAGATAAGATAAGATAAGATACGCTAGGCATATTTTTGTCATAATTGTTTTGGAGTGGTGGTGCTACCGATCACCATGTCCAAGGTGTCGTTAGAAAGGTCTTGGCATGTAGTTTTGCCATCAAACAAAAAAACTTTGGAATTCCATCAGGGCTCTGCCCCAGTGGCCTTCAAAGTTCCCATGTTATTCTTAGGGAGAACATGTTTGTTTACATTTGAACAGATGAATACTTTCAAATTGACACTAATATTTGAAACAGCTGGTTATACAAAAATGTTGCACAAAATGAAAACATAACCAAAAAAAAAGTTCCACATAATGGAGACTATAAGATGTTGACCAGGACGGCCAACAGGAGGAGGTCGACAAATTTTAACTGGTAGACGAGAACGAAATACAAATAATACTATTGTCGTTGATAGCCGAATACAGCAAGCACCCCAGCCGTCTGAAGATTTAACATTCAATTTAGGACTGTTGGATAATTGCTGCACAAGCTGTTGATTTTGGAAGACAAGGAGGCGGGTAATACTACATCGAAAACAGAAGAGAGGAGATATTAGATGAGTGGCAAATGCGTTGGGAGCAGAGGATTTTTTTATGTTAACGTTTTAAAGGTAAACTTTCGTATGTATACCTAACATCAGAAAGAGACTGGAACAAGATTGGGAGATGGGCCATTATGAAACGCAGTTTGTCACAGGACATGGAAAATTTCAAGGTGATTTTGTGAAGATATCACATGGTGGAAGAGGAGGTATGTAGATGTGGAGAAATAAAAACCACGAGTCACGTATTTATAAATTGTTCACTTCAGGAGACAAATAGGAGAGAACAGGAATAAGTCTTGGATAAGATAGGTTTAGAGATGAGAAAATAAAACATGATGAGTGACAAGGAAACAATTGAGACGTTTAGAAAAGTAGCTAGGGAAATACGAAAAACCAGGGATACATACAGGCGTTAACATTTAAAAAAATAAACAAACAAAAACTAAGAAAGGAAAGGAATGAAAACTTGCTCATGAAGGGGAGAGGAAAGGTTAGAGCGAATCTCAATGATCCCTATCGCTCAGGGCGGTATGGGGAAGGGAGTCGTGCTGTTGCTGTTAGGCTTTAGGACACATAATGTGTCTGGAAACCTAATGCTGCTATGAGTAAGGCTATTTGTAGAAACACTATTTACATTAAATGTTGATTATATCGATCTCTTATGTAGGCTACATCTTGAGTATTTTCATAATCTTTGAGTCTTTGAGTAGAATATTTTAAAGTCATCAGAAATTATGACTGTTATTCGTTTTAAAATAACGCCTGTAATTCTTAGCAATTGCTCGAATTTGAGCAACAGGTACACTAGTATATCATCATTTTAAGCCATATACCAACCTGCAAATAGCAGTGATTCTGAAGAGTAAGTCTGTTATAAAAAAACTAAACTACTTTCTATAATAAAACACATGAGGTATTAATTTTCCCTAAAACAATCCCCTATGCTACTTACCTTTTCAAAATACCATTTTAGATTAAAATCAGGCCACTTAAGTTCCAGTCGTGCTTCGTCTTCTAAACATGTGCCGTCTGTTTCCGCTGTTTCAGGCACATAAATGTCTTTAACCTGAGGAAATTAAATAAGTTAAGTCATCTCATAAACAATACATAAATAACTCCTTCCAAACTACATTAATAAGTCGCAATGCATTAGGTCATCCTATTCAAAGAGTTATGATAATTAGAAAATGTTTGTTTTCACAATATGATTTTTTGGTTGTTGTAGATATTTGTTTAAATCTTTACTTGCAAAATATAATATTTAAAAATATTTAATCTTTACCGGCGTTGCTCGGGTAAAACAAAATTCACAATAATGGTGATAAAATATATTTTTTGATTGAGTAACATGGTATCTTGAAATGAACTGATTCAAATGATCAGTATCTCAAATGAAAGCATTTATTTTTAGGGGCATTTTAAGACCAAGACATATAAAATATCTTAAATTGTTCTATTTCTAATACAAGAATATTAAACACACATCTTGTTTCAACAAACTCTATTTCCAACTCAACTAATGTTTACCAAAACTTGTTTACAAAAATCATCTGTCAACAAAAGATATTTAAACACCAATAAATCAGATGACTAAAAGAACATACTTAATACAACATCCCGCCTCAAGATGTCTACATCTTCATGAAGCTCGGTACCACCTCGGTATCTTGATGGACCTTCCGTAATGGGTAACTGTGCCAGCGTCTGGACGATCACTTGAGTTGGATGGACAATTAAGGACCGTAGATGAACAGTTTGAAAGAATGCAATCTTCTCCGTAGTATGGTGCAGGAACTAAGAACTTCTGGTTTCGTCGAATGGTTTTCTTGTCAATGTCCACAAGGTAGGAACGTGGTTCGTTCAATTTCCTGACTACTTTACCATGTCTACGTAAATCTGTGATCCATACCATGCTTCCCTCTTCTAATTCACTTAAACCCCTCGTTCCATGTCGTTTATCAAATTGCATCTTATACTTCGACTGGTACTTATTCTCCCTCTCAAAAAAGTCTTTATTTTCCACAGGATTTCCAACCAAAGTAGATGGAAGATTGTCTCTTATTTTCCCTCCAAACATAAGTTCTGGATTCAATGGTTCACTGTGATTAGTTGAGTTCTGAATACACACTGGACACGATTTGCTTTTTCTTTCTATTTCTTGAGAAATTCCAGGCCACCACATGGTTTCCAAAGCATGTTTCCTTGTTTTTGTGATTCCCAAGTGTCCACTGTGAAGCCTCTCAAGCATTTCCGCTCGTAGTTCATGAGGTATTATCATCCGAGTTCCTCGAAGCAATAACCCATCAATACAACTTAACTCGTCTTTCACGTTAAAGTATTCTTGAATCTCATTAGGTAAACTTGATTTTCCAGGCCATTCGTCTAAAATTTTTAGCTTGAGTTGTGCACATATTGGATCCCTCATTTGTGAGTGGAGTACTTTTGTCACATTTTCATCTGTAGTGTTTATTCTAATCATACTGATTTCATGGACGAAGGCTTCCACTTCTTCTGTCAATTCGCCATCTTCATTAGCCGGAATAGGACATCTCGATAGCAGATCTGCTATGGCAAGGTCTTTTCTTGGGGTCCAGGTCATGCGATAATCGTATCTCATCATACGCATTCGGAATCGCTGTAGCCTCGGTGAGAGCTCGTCCAAATTTTGTCTTTTGAAAATTGAGACAAGCGGTTTGTGGTCGCTCTCAATTGTGTACACTTTACCCATCAGGAAACATTTTAAACGGTCACTTGCCCAAGTGCACGCAAGCGCTTCTCTCTCAATGTTACTGTAGTTTTCTTCAACAGGCATTAGAGTCCGAGATATATATGCCACAGGTTTCTTGTTTTCTCCTTCAACTTGTAGTAAAACCGCACCAAGACCTTTTTTTGAAGCATCACAAGAAAGAATCGAGGGCTTTTCCGGATCGTAAACAGTTAAACATGGCTCTGATGATAAAATCTGTTTCACTGTGACAAAAGCTTTTTCCTGAGTTGGTCCCCAAAAGAAATCGTTTTTAGTCTTTAACAAGCTCGTAATTGGCTCTAAAATCTCACTGCAGTTCGGAATAAATTTAGCCAGAAAAGTGATCATGCCCATGAATCTCTGGACTTCATCAGCATTACTTGGGGCTGGTAAGTCCACAACTGCTTGTACCTTGCTTGGATCAGGCTTGATTCCTTCCTTAGACAGCACAAACCCCAAAAATGTCACAGTCTTCTTGCAGAACTCAGACTTCTGCTTATTCAAAGTGATTCCATTAGCTTACACTCTCTCTAGAACGGCTCTAAGACACTCGTCGTGTTCCTCTTTCGTTCTTCCCCATATCAAACAGTCATCAATAGGCACTAAACAGTTCTTTGCCCCTTCTAAAGCTTTTGACATACGGCGCTGAAACTCTTCATGAGCAGATGTAATTCCAAAAGGTACCTTACAGAATTTATACCTCCCGAAAGGGGTGATAAATGTTGTGTAATCTTGAGACTCCTCTGCAAGGTTCAGTTGCCAGAAACCGGAATTCGCATCGATCTTGCTGAAGTACTTGGCTCCCGCGATCTGGGACAATGAAAGTTCAATCTTTGGAATAGGATAAAACCGACGTTTCACACTGTTGTTGAGTTTGGATAGGTCCACGCAGATCGTAACCCCACCTCTCTTTTTTGCGCAAACTACCATTGGTGCGCACCAATCAGTCGCGTGTTCAACTGGGACAATCACTCCTTTTTCAAGCATATTCTCTAACTGCTCTTTCACCTTGCTTTTTAAAGGTATTGGTACAACCCTGGGGGTAGATATAGCATAAGGAACTGCATTCTCCTTCATTTCTATCTTGTACTCTCCTTTCATATTTCCCAATCCTTGAAATAAATTAGGGTACTCAGTAACCCAGTCAATATCTGATGAATCTACAGAAAAGATCCTCTTCACCAGGTTCAGCTCTTCACAGGAACGTCTGCTAAGAAGTGGAACAGTGATCTCCTCAGAAATATACGCATGATCATAAATTGATACACCCTTATGTTCAAGCTTCAGCCTTAAAGTTCCCAAAATATTGATTCGTTCTTTCTTCTTTGCACTGTACACAGGGGATTTGCACTTTCCTAGAGGCAGAGTCTTAATAAAATCACCAAGAACTCCTACTGGAATCATGGTTACATCAGCGGCTGTGTCAAGTTTAAATTTTATAAGCCCTAATACTTGGTTTCCACAGCTTGCTTTTACCTCCTGGGCCCAGGCTCTGTCATTGTTTTCTATATTCCCGATGAAAATCTCAGGAACCTGTAGATCTCCACAGTCTGAAACTTGCTGTTCGATTTCTTTAACAACGTTTTTGTTCTTTCTCATCCACTTTTCGCGGTAGGGACAGCATCGAAAAAAATGTCCAATCTCGGAACATTTGTCACATTTGGCTTTCCTAGCAGGACATTCGGCCAGTGATCCGTGCCAATCATAACCACATTTCCTGCACTTCTTTGTATTTTCTGCATCCTCGATGTATTTCTGGTCACAAACTCCTTCTGTCCGATTCGGTTTACCGTTTTGAACTGACGTTTTATTTACCAAAAAAACATTAGTATTGGCAAGTTCACGTTTTTGGCGTTCTAGCTCCTCATGTTGGCGCAAGGTATTAATTGCTTTCTCCAGAGTCAATTGAGATTCCAGCTGGAGTCTATCACTCAGACCCTCATCTTGCATACCAATAATGAGGACGAGAAGCATCATCTCATCATTTAGTTCACCCCATGCACACGTTTTCGCAAGGCCATGCAAATCTGTTATAAATTTTTCAGATGGATCACTCCCTTGCTTGTGTCTCAAAAATTTTGATCTCTCATAAATTATATTCCGTCTTGGCACAAAGTATTCATCAAAGGCCCTAAGAGCCTTGTCATAAGTATTAGGTTTTGGTGAAAACGAATCGAAAATATCTTCACTTCTACTACCCATTACAAACAAAAGTACATCGATTTGCCGAGCGTCGGAAGTGCTATCCAGACCGCAACCCCGTCTGTACCTTTGAAAGCGATTCCTCCAGGAATGCCACTCATTCGGAGTAAAAGAGAACGTTTCTGGAGTTGGTAACGTGATATTGACCATCGGAGTAGGAGTATACATAGCTGCATCATTTTCTCGGTTCGTATGTCCCAATGCAAAACCTCGTGACTCATCTTTAGTCTTTCTAGAGTCCCTTTCTGAAACGTAGTTGAGTTCACTTTGGGTGTCGTCCTCACCGTTATCCTCATACTGAGTATTTAGTTTTTTTCTGCCCTTACTTGACATTATGCGTGGTTTTAGACTTTCAGTTCGATAAAAATCCACTAAGCTGCCACCATGTTCTATTTCTAATACAAGAATATTAAACACACATCTTGTTTCAACAAACTCTATTTCCAACTCAACTAATGTTTACCAAAACTTGTTTACAAAAATCATCTGTCAACAAAAGATATTTAAACACCAATAAATCAGATGACTAAAAGAACATACTTAATACAACATAAATAAAAATAGAACTACGTACCATTGATTGCAGTTAAGTCCTAAAATAATTATAATTATTGTTGATTCCTCATTCAGCAGCATGCTTTAGCACAGAAAACGTACTACTATAACCCAGAATGCCAACCGCATGGTAAAAAGCATTAAGCGGTTTGCAATAGCATAGCAACGCTGGTGGCGCTGCCTACGGATTGACAGGCAAAGCTCTCTCAAACCGCTTAATGCTTTTTACCATGCGGTTGGCATTCTGGGTATAGTAGTACGTTTTCTGTGGCTTTAGGTAGGTTCGATCTTAATAATCAATAGCTCAAATGAAAGCTGGTATTACACTGGAGGTTCTTAGAGCAAAACATATAGGATATTGTAATTATAACAGGTAAAATATACATCTTTAATTCAAGTAAGAATTTGAAAAAAAATAAATTTTTGTTTTTTGGTCGGGTAATTCAGTACCATAGGTAGATAACTGAATGATGATACTTGGTGGCAAAATCAAGACTAAAATTATGAAAATTGTTCGGGTAGAAGAGCCAAACGAACACGGAAAAGAAAAACCAATAATTTTTAATACATAGATTTCCAGATCTTTATGAATGATCACCTTACATAAATGATGCTGTCTATACAGGCAAATAATTCATTAATTTGAAATAATGAAACAGAGGACATAAATACAAAACATATTCTCTTATTTTTCTTACAGAATTGAATTAAAATTAAATAAGAAATAAGATTGATGGTGATATTTTATTCCGCAAGAGTTAGAATGTAATAGTGAATAGTAGTTTTAATTCAATAACATTTCAAACTGTAACAATACAATAAAACAATCCCTCCTGGTTCTAGAAGACATTTTTGTTCCTAGACCTATGGGAGGCTGTTATAGTAGATTCAAAAGTTAGATTTTGGGACTGATTTAATGTTGACAAAAAAGACACAGCTTTTAATTAGGCCTACACACAATACTAGAGAGAGCATCTGCAGAGAGGCTTTCAAAGAACTGAAAATCCTTCAGGTGACATGCCAAATGTCCAAATGTTTCAATTAGTTTGTTCTTTGGAGGGGTTAGCACTTTTTAGGACAGGAAGGAAGAAGTAATAAATGCACACTCCTTTCTTCAGTGGCGGATCTAGAGCATTCACAAGGGGGGGCGAACCAGGGAGTCAGGGGCGGTTCGGGGGTACCCCTCCGAAAAATGTGTGTAAACTAAGTCTCCTAAATCACAGTTTTTTACCATTTCTTTGTCCAAAGTTAGTGTGACAAATTATTTTACGCAATTTGTATGCACTACTGTATTACATGCAGTAAAAAATATATGTATATGTATGCCCGAGGGGGGGGCGGTCGCCCCTCTCGCCCCCCCTCTGGATCCGCCACTGCCTTTCTTCTAACTAATTAACTAATTACAGTACCTATACAAATAGTTCCAGGTAGTAGAAAGCACACAACAAAGTACAAAACTCAATAAACTTGAAATTTTGCACCTAACTTTTATAAAGGGGCTTCTTCCAGGAGAAAGGAGTTGAAGAAGAAATTAAATAGGAATAGGTACTGATATTCTACTTCTGAAGAAGCCTCATAGGGGTAAAATATCAAGTTTATTGTGTTGTGAAATTTTGTATGTGCTTTCTAATACCTGGAACTCTTTTCTTATGATAAGTTAATTGTGTGTCCATTGCTTTTTCTTTCATGTCATCCTATGTGCAACTGTCAAATAAGAAACCTAGAACCTGAAGAAAACCTGGCTTAAAGGACACCCCCCTTACATATTCTTTGCTTTTAGCAACAACCAAAAGATAATTAGAGTTTGGCAAATCCTGATAACTTACGATCTCCTCTTTTAGCCTTGTGGTGTACGTGAACTCTATGAGAGCGTCGGTCCTTAGCAGGATGCATGCTGTGCCTCCCTCTGCGTTGAGACGATACAAAGTCTTTGTGGTTACTTCCGGTGCTCGTGTTGCTAGGGAAGAAAAGTTAATTTAAGTTATATTTTATAACAAACTATTCTTTCTATCATAAAACTAAATAAATTTTGTGAACAGACTCTATAGTTTGGGAAGTATTGTGGAATAAAAATATTACCAGGAGATCAAGAAATTATATGGGTACAAGGGTGCAGTACTGTTACAGGACACATATGAGTGGTTGGATTGGATATCAAGAGGCTAAAACAGGTAAAATTGTATCTGATACTGAATCAAGATATCCAATTTGATCTATTATGTTTTTAACGCACATCAACTTGATTATAGTAAATACAATTTGACTTACTTGTTGTTTTGCTTATTGCTTCTTTCTTTTCAAGGGGTTTCTTGGTTGAAACTTCTGTGAGTTCTCCAGCCTCTAAGGTTACCTATACAAGATATCATATGTTTAATTAGTTAGGCTAAACAACAAAGATTTGTATCATGCCAGTTTGTCCGAAAAAGTTGCTTTTGTGGATTCAGAGTATTACACGATCTATAAAAATACTTTTTTGTGCTATGTCACTTTATTGCTCTTAACCCTTCACAATAAGACATATTCTCAAAGTTGATTTGCTATAAATAAAAAAAAACTGTGATCTAAACCGGCTTTTTACCGACCACAGCCTGTGTAGCATCCTGAACCTTGAGTGTTGAAGATACAAATCTTTTATTTTGTACCTATGGTCATGTTATTTATGGATATTTTAGTGCTGCAGAGGCAATCACAATAATAACAGCCACAGATGTTTAAAAACATCTACCAACCTTCTTTCATCCTGAATGTGTAAAGTTGAAAATTCCCTTGATTACTGATGATACAAAACTGTAGGAAATTGCAAAATCCAAAGCTAAAAGTCATTACAGAATCAACTTTTGCTTTTGATCCAAATCTTTATTGTTGCTTTGGCAGATTTCCTTGAGGCTCTTATCTTGATAGCCTCAGACCTCTACACTCCATCTCCATGGTCTGGTCATTAAGTGGTGTCTAGCACTAGTGCTGGTGTCCAAAGTCAAAGTCCAAACACCCCCCCCCCCTCTCACACATGTAACTACAATGCTCGCTGTGGAGGATAAGCAATATGAATTTTCGTACATTGCTCGCCACTTGGACTCTTTTTTGTTTTTTTAAGTAGGTAATTCTGGCACAACCTACAAGAGCTGAAAGCGCACGGTTGTACAGAGCATAAACGTTTTTCCTCTGTACCATACTTCCCTGTGATCAAACAAAGCAAATAAGAGGTGAGCCTTTAGAGTACAAGAATGCAATGTATATTACAGTACTCATAATAATATATTATAGTGGTGCCACACTGCTATGGGACTGTAAAACCAACATTCCTGTTTTCAATTCATAGTCTCAACGCTATAGATAGAGAGACATATGATTTCTCCTAATTCTAAAACAAGGACTAGGCTAGTCAAAGCTACTAGGTACTTCTATAACTAATTATATTTTTGTTAAATGTTATTTTTCCTTACTTTGGCAGATTTACTTGGAGGTGGTACTGTAACAACAGTTGCCTCTGTGGCAGAAGGTTTAGACTCTACTGCCCTGATGGACTCGGTGGCGGCTGACCATGAGGCTGCTAAAAGACCTGCAATGAATAGATAACTTCAGGAGTTTAAATCTAAATGAACTTTACTTTGAAAAGTGGAGTCTGATAATTATTTCTTGTTAAATTTGTGACCCTGTCACAATCGTAATAATATTATGGCAAAGGGAGTCCCTACAACATAAAGTTATGATCAATTTATAAAGGTAGGTATTTACTTCATTAAAAGATTGTTATACTTTGTGTGCATATTAAATGTTGGTAAGTTAATAAATGCAATTTTTACAAAATTATGATTGGACCTGGCACTTCCTAAAAAAAATATGTTCTACATTTACATCATGGACGGTTATAGGAGTTATGGGACAAGTTGAATTGTTTTTAGCTTCGAACTATTATTTTTAATTCCCCATTATCTCAAATATAATTTCCTATAGGCCTACATTAAATCCTCCAAAACGTCTCCACACTTGGAATTTTTTGACTTGAGGAGACTGATTGTAAGTAGATAATAGATATTTGAGTGAAAATTTAAAAACGTACGTTTTCATGTCCCTGGCCTTTTACTTCGTAGCTACTGGATTTGTAGTTTATTATTATGTGTTTTAATATTTTTTGGGATGGGGGCAACATGTTACACACATTTATTTGGTTTTAAATAGGTTCTAGGTATTTTTTTCGTATTTTTAAAGTCTCGAAATTCACGACCATGACGTGTCCCTAGGGTACATTTTCCAACTTTCACGCTGTTTTTAGACTAAATATTCATGCCGAAATGTATAAAGCCATATTTTTATGTCATCAATGGTTATTAAACTTACAAAAAAGGAGCATATTATAATTTTATTGTCACTGCAAACTGACTACCATGACATAATAAGTCTGTCCCTCGATTTGGCGTCACGACCATTTGGGAAAAATTTTCAACTTTGGAGCACGACAGTGGCAAGCCTGGCGTTGATGGAGTCAGTTGGTTTTAGAGACTAGTTCGGGGTGTACGTCAGGATTGTAGTGCCGGTCGTTTCGAGTTGAAAGGAGGAATTACAAGATTAATACAGGTAAGGTTGTGTTTTTTGTAATTTTGGTGTGTCCATGACCGTACATAGTCATTCGATGAAGTAGACATGGTGTTAATTTTTGTTTATAAGATATTTCAGTTGCTAGATTAACCTAGAAGTCCACTTTGTATCCTCGAACATGAGGTGCAGAGCTACCGCCAGAACAGAGCCAAATAACACGTAATTTCACGACCAAAGTTTCACGACCATCGCGGGTTTTTTCACGACCTATCCAGCCTTATGGATTATAGTGTGTTTGGTCGTGACAATAACTTTAATATAATTGTAATTTGAACAGTTTAGTTCAATTGAAACACATATTTTTATTATAACTAACAGTATAATTAAAGGATTGTTTAGAAAGATTTAGATTTTTTTAGAAAACTCGCGACCGTACCGCTTGTCCCTGACCATCACGTTTATAAAAATTTCAAAAATTAAAATATCGTCATATTTCAATGTTTTATACACAAAAGAAGCACGCCTCTATGCAAACATAAAGATTTTTCGGGTCTCAGGTAAGTTTTTTCGGAGTTATACAAACTTAAAAAGATTTTATTGGCTTTTTTTCAATTTTTTTGAGTTTTTTTATTTTTTTCTAGAAAGACCAAATATACTAAAAGCTCAGTGACCTTTTTAATGTATAATGGTCATAAAAGTAAATTAGTTTATAGCAAAACATAGTTATAAAAATAATATTAACTATTTTTAATATTCATTTAAACGTCTGTTATGGTCGTGACAGGATTTTGTGTTTTTCCACTAAAGATGCTCTTTAAAAAAAAAAACTACCAAAGATATTGCGTTACCATGGACATTTTATGAAACTTCAAATGTCAATGAAATCAAAAAAAATAATAAAAGTTTTGAAAAAAGGGGAAACAAATTTGCAAAGTGTTTTTCCTGAAAACGTACGTTTTTAAATTTTCACTCATTTACAGTAACTTACCACAAAGTTAAACGAAAAAATCAAAAAGATTAAATACAAAAAATGTAAAATGTTGTACAAACTCTATTATTATACAGAATACACTATGTAAAAAAGTTAATCAAATTTAATATGATGATGATGGGTTGCTGATTACACAATTAATAAAACTGCTAAAAAATCATTTACATTTTGTCTCAGTTTCAAGAATTAAATACATCAAATCTCAAGTTACTAAAATATTAGTTACAAATAACATTATTACATAGACCAAAGGACGCAAAAGAATTTTTGTATAGAACCAAATTCAATTCAAATCCTCTTTGTTAAGCAATAAAGATGTATATATGATTTACATAATTACAGTTTCTGACCATCTTATTAAGTACTAAACCAATACCACATTGATTAGTTATTTAGTAATTTATTGAGGGCTTAAGATGAAAAAGTTGAAATTAATGTGTGTGTAAACTCTCAATTTTTGCTTCAAAAATGACTAAATGTTAGGGTTAGAATCGACATAATAATGGCGTTTAGCGTTGTAAAATGTTTAGAAAATCATACCGTAGTATTTTATGAACTATAAGATAATGAACAGTTTATAACTACTTACCTGACAAAAATACTAAAATTTGAAATATAGTATTTAGTTTCAGATTCATAGTGAACAAAAAGACGACAGCGGAAGGTATGAGGCAACGTTCCCTGCCTAATCCAACAATCAATACTCTACCGTAGGCGACCTAAACCCCGCTTGCGCGAATTACGAAGATTGTTTTTGTAATGTATCTATCCTTGTTAAAAGATAAAACTAAAATATTAATATTGAGTAGGTGCTTAAAAATATTGAAACTTATGAAAAGTTGCAAATTCAGATAATTCGTTCGTTTGAGAAAACTTGAATCAATATTATATATAAATATATGTTTTACTCAACAATGATATATGGTTATATTTAAACAGAAACGTTACCTTTAAACTTATTTGCCACATTTTTATATTAAGTAAAGAAAGTTATAATAAGGGTATCTTATATATAACGTGGACTTAATTAACGAAAATTGAAGAACTTTTTTTATAAGAGCTTTAATTTCTCCCTTTCAAATATAATGGGACTTTCTTATTTTGTAGAAAAAAAAACTGAGTAAAACAGTGACATTAATTTATTTTATTTGATAAAAATGGAAAAGTTGGCATTCAAACACGGCCATGTACGAGTAATATTTCGGGATTATATTAATTAAAAATTATCAAGGGATTAAAACAGATTTTTTAATAATTGTTCGTTAACATTTTATGAAACAGTCTGTAGTGTGTTTATGATGAATGAATGATTGTTGTATCACGTTTTTTATATAATCATAATCGTATCGATATAATCAATGATATAGTGTTCTCAGAAATAGTTTATCGATACGATAGTAGATACGATAGCACGGAAGTTTGTTTCTCTTTGTTTTTTGAACCTATCCTGCTCCTGCGGAGTGGCGTGGTGGGGGTAGTCAGTACCAAATACCAAAATTGTTTTGTTTGAGTTTTGAGCTGTGTAGTTGTAGTTGTAATTTCAATTTCTTCATCAACTGTGAGTTTTTAGGTTATGATTGTAATACTAGGCTCCTTAAAAAAATAATTATTCCGGCCGGATTGTGTATTTTTTTACTCCAAAATTTTTACTTAATTAACGTTTTCCAGAATCGCTCCAGATTTTTTATAAAACCTCTCCATTTATTTATTGCTTTAGTTAAGAAATCAAGAAGAAATAAAGCGGGAGTTAAGCTAGGCTACAGGCTATTGTGGTCTTTATAGGCTAGTAATCTAATCATTCGTTATTTAAAACAAATACTAAACTGATTTAGGAAATTATCACATTAAAAATATAGGCTAATTTTGTTAGTTTGAAGAACGTGCCGACACTGCTTTTGTTTAACTCATTTAAATTGTTATTGTATACATTTGATAGGCTAACCACTATCATGTGCAAGGTTAGGTCTAGTTTTATTATTTTTTTGTGGATTTGTAAAACTAAACAGAGTATGCCTATGTTTATAAATGTTTGCTGAATTGAAATAAAACACAAGTACCCTAGCTAATTTAATTACTAGACACACTTCCATATCTGTTGTCTAAAACAATCGAATGAAAAATTATTTGATATAAGTTTATCAATCATTAATTTGATTCAATATATCGTTTGGTTTGTAGGTTATCCCACAGATAATAGAACACCATTATTGGTTACCGGTACCTTAACGTAATTGGTTCCTTAGTCTCTGGTTAACCTAACTAACCAACGATACCTACAGTATATAAAATGGAATGGTAATTATTAATAATCAATATTTTCATTCGGTTGTTTTTGACAACAGATACGTAAGTCTATCAGTTTCCCATTATGGTAATCACTTAAGGGTGCGCTCTACCCCTGCTGTTTTGCTTAAACGAGTGGGTCTGGGGCTTCAACAGTGTTTCCGAAGGCAACACTTAACGTAGAATCTAAGTTATGGTGGCATTTTGAAGGGGTTGAAGTGGTTTCAATATGTTTAATATCATACCATGAAGCCTGAAAATCTTCTTTGAATGTATATGAAAAACGGAAATTTTAAACTTCTTTAACTAATTATAGAATTTATTACTTTAAAATTCTAAAACTAGGGTCGCATAGATTGTTCTTTGTTCTGTAAAACCCCATTCATTATTTTTTACTAGCATGTATGGGTAGTTTACAAAGGCAGTTGCCGTGAACGTCTTCAAGTGTTTCTCGCGGCGCTGTTCAATGGCGCAACATAGCTACTGAATCCCGAGCTGAGGTAGAGCGCACCCTTAAATCTAAGTAAGGAATCTGGTTAGTATTTTCACATAAAAGTCCAGTTAGCTTAATCCAGAGCCTATTTAACCTAACAGCACTCAACACATAAGTAACTTTTGTAGCCTGTACAAAATTTAATCCAAATTCCGTAGTGAGAAGTTGGAAAAATAAAGATAGGTAGTTTACTGCACATGAATGCATCTTTGCCTTCCAATGCTTGATTTATAAAACAATTAGGTCTTGGACTGTTGTTTTGGGTGTTTTGTAGGCTACATTCCTCTCCTCTCCATTTTTATTTTGTGATTTATTGACTCACTAACACAATGACAACTCACTTAGGCCTAGTTTTTATTTTTAGCTTAACACATTCAATGCTGAGTAATAAGGGCATGCGATCTCCTGTGGCAAAGCCACTATGGTGTTTAAAAAATTTCCAAACTCCTATTCTAAACTCATAAGCCGCTAGCCTACATACGAGAAAAATGTATAGGCGTAAACAGGTGGCGTCAGAGGCGTAACTAGTCTGACTACACCCCAATGCAAGTATTCCCTGTGCGCCCCTATTCGTCTAGACTCATTCTCCTCCCCAATAGTCTCCAACGAAACCAACAACGACATTTCTCCGTATTTCACTACACTACATTGTACAAACTCTATTTAATTAGAGAAGGATTCAATCTTTGGTAGTTTTTTTCACTTTTTCATCTTGTTGTTTTTTCCTTTTACGGAACTCGGCACCACTAGGTCTTTTATTTCCATCCATTTTGTTCAGTATTTAACAAAATCCACTAAAACACACAAATAAACGATCTACTGATTTCAATTGTAGAACTAATACACTGACAAAAATTTGTTTTGTATTGTTATAAAACAAATAACACTACTGATCGTACAGCAAGAACTGACAGGGACACATGGTTGTGGTTACTTAAATAATAGGCCTACTGTCAGATTTTATCTGTCTATCTTTGTAGCTAACAAAAATAAACAAGAGCAGTCAATTCTTGTGATAAGAACGTAACAAGCGCAGATGTGCAACACCACACCGAGGAGATCACGATAATAATAAAAATAAACGGTATCAGCATTCTGACACATACTTTCTCCCATAAGTTTGTCAACAACCTTTATCATGTGTAAGCGGTGAGAGTAAATATACGGAAATGGGATTTGTAAGATTTTCTTCAGAATTTAAAGGACTATAACATACTAAATTTTTATCAAAATCGTTCGAGCCAATATTGGGAAAATATGATTTTCCGTTATTTTATGGGGTTTTTATGGGGAAATAACATAATTTACAATAACTTTTGAACCGTAATTTTTACAGAGATGGGATTTGTACCATTTTGTTCAGAATATAAAGGACTATAACATACTAAATTTTTATCGAAATCGTTCAGGCCATTTTTGGGAAAATCTTTTTTTTCCGTCATTTTATGGGGTTTTATGGGAAAATACCCATTAAAAATAAAAATTTCTAAGAAATGAGAAAAACCATCAAAATTGTAAGGATCATAACATGTTAAATAAAAACGGATTTTTTTGTCTAAAATCCTATTTTTCGTTATTTTATGGGATTTTTATGGGAAAATAACATAATTTACCATAACTTTTGAACTGTAATTTTTACAGAAAGGGATTTGTACCATTTTGTTCAGAATTTAAAGGGCTACAACATACTAAATTTTTATAAAAATCGTTCGGGCCATTTTTGAGAAAATCCGATTTTTCCGGTTTTTATGGAAAAATCCCCATTAAAAATCAAAATTTCAAAAAAATGAAAAAAACGCCTGGAGATACCATGGATTAGAACCTACATACCAAATTTCATCGAAATCGGACCACAGGTGTAGTCTCTAGCTCTGTACACATCCAGACACACAGACACATACACACACACACACAGACATCACTTCGAAAACCACTTTTTTGGGTCCAGGGGGACCCAAAACGAATATATCCACTCAAAACTCAAACTCGAAAATTTTGACGAAAACAATACTTTCTCCATATAGGCTACTATGGTATAGGGGGAGAAAGTAATAAAAAGAGTCACCAACATTCTGTTGTGACTGTAACGGAATAAAGCACCATGAATGTTTTTTACATTATTTTTTTGTAAGCTACAGTTAGTTTTGCTTCAACATATTTTTTTGCTAAACATTTTCCAGATGCTCCGCATTGGATGCATTAAAAATTACTGTAATGTATGTTTAATGGCTGAATAAACAATTTGAATTTTGACCCAATGTATTTCAGATCTTGACTTTTGTCGGTAGGTTACTTAGGCCGGTGTGAGCAGTCAACGCCTTAAACATTGCCTACTATTGCCAGTTTCACGTTGATGTTTAATCTGTATATGTATTAATAGTCAGTGGTTTTTAAGTTTTTTTTAAAGTTTTAAAGTTTAAAGAAAGAAAGTTCTTGAAACCCGAGCCTAATGTGGATTTCCTTTTAAAATTAAGCCCTAAGAATACACATTTTGAGATATTAACTTAAATGGTCGATTGCATTTCCAAAACTTTGGTGGCTGAGAATACCACTCAGCTATGCGGGTAACAATGTGTACCTAACTTAATTGAAACTTAATTGGCAGGAAACATCCACATTTCGAGAAATCTTGCACAGAACATTGTTTAGCTCTTCAGATTGGTATGGTATAAAAAGTGTTTTAAGTTAAAGAGACATAAGTATTCCAGCATATTGAATATTGATGCTTTACTTGCCATTTGTAATGAATTGGGCTACTCAGTCCTTTTAAACCTAAACTTAATACAGGTTAGTGTTATTCTAAAATACCCCCGCCGCAGCAAACCTGCCGACTAAGCGAATTTCCATTTGTCTGAATTGATTTTCAGTTAAATATATTTTAATAACATTAGGTTTAACGAGTACCTAGGTTTGCTGCTACAAGGAAACTAATAAAGTGTGTTTTTTAGTAAAATATTGATAGCTTAGTACAAAATAAATAAATTTGCCAAGTTTGATCAAAATATATTCATAAACAAGCAAACTACAACATTTGACAATATTCTCCATAAGAATAACATGGGAATTTTAAATTTACAATTTCTTTAATTTTCTCCGTTACTAATAATCGAACAAAAATACTTTTATATACTAAATTATTTGTTTTTTTAAGCTCTTTAAAAAGGTCTAAAGAGAAATTGGGAAATTTTGTGTTTTGAGGGTAAAAAGTGAGAAAAACCAATTTTTACCCCATAAAACCCCCCGTAAAGCCCCGTTCCCATGGTCCGATCGTGCTGGTTCGCGAACTCATTCAAGTTTATCCCGCGTTACACCTTTAAACCAAATTTCATCAAAATCGGACAAAAATTACTCAAGTTATCGCGTTCACGGACGTATATATATATATATATATATATATATATAAGTCTATATATATATATATATACATATATAAAAATTTGAACGAATAGTGTTTTTGGCCTCTGGGGACATCAAAATGAAAAAGTAAATCGGTCCCGGGTCTAGGTCTTACCGTGCCACCTACGGTAATAGCTACTTCCCTATAGGGAAATTCGCTAAAATAAAATAATGGTCTAGAGCCTTTCCTTATGTGCAACATTATTACAGTAAATGGCCATTTATTACTTTAAGTATCTTTAATTCAGTAGTTGTTCAATGAAATTATTTTTTATAAAATTGCCAGTACTGATTACACGGTTCTGTTTCTTTTTTCAGGTACTAAATCTTCGTAATATTACTACGTTATCTGTTTTATCTCTATCTTCCACATCTTCTTTGTTCAAAATGGCTGACACTGTTCTAGAAAATCGCAGTAAGTACACTTATTTTGTATTAGGCTAAGTTTATTAATGTCGGGTAGAGATATAATTCTATTTAGCATTTGTTTATTCAATATTAAAACATCTTTATTCCTTTATATGTGCATACAATGAGTAGTGGACCAATACACTTCTGATATGAATATTAAAATAATAAGTACTACATAATGACATGGAGGGATAAAAAGTCAGTGTATAGTTTATACAAATTAACTAATATCATTGACGTTACTTATCTTTAGCCCTTGCACTTGTGATATTTGTTGAAGTGCAAAAAATATTAATTGTTTGATAACTTTCAGATTTGCTAGCTAGCTATCTTAAACTACCGGTATTACAAGTGCTTTTTTATATACAGGGTGATCAACTTAAGACCACCATTGGGATATCGGAAACAGTAAGAGTTAGAGAAAAATTTAAATGGGGAACATTCCTTTATTTGTTGTGGCAGTTAAAAATATGAATTTAGTTTTTCAAAATTCAGCTGCTATTTCCCAACATGGCGGCCAACCTTGAAATTTCTTATGGAACACCCTATATTTTATCATGTTTTCGGATAGAACATGCAATTTAAAAACGTTTTTATTCTTGACATTCTTTCTATAAACTCACTCGTTTAGCGGTTACAGCCTATGAAAAAATGTCTATAATATAAGTACCTCACCACAGCTCTGAAGTTTCTGTATATTACAGCTGTTTCGGCATCAAAATGCCATCCTCAGATACACATACATCCACCACCTGAATTGGCGTCGTTAAACTGTACCTGTCGCGTACTTGATTGCTACGAGCTGACTGTTCAGTCCGTACTCGTAGCAATCATGTACGCGTCAGGCCTGTCTCTTGTTTTACGTGTTTTTTGTTTTTATCGTGTTCGTGTGTGTGAGTACAGTTTAACGACGCCAATTCAGGACGATGTATGTGTATCTGAGGATGGCATTTTGATGCCGAAACAGCTGTAATATACAGAAACTTCAGAGCTGTGACGAGGTATTTATATTATATTATAGTCATCAATTCAGCTCAGGGGCTAAACCATGTCTATTGATATGAAAAAATTACTTTTTGGTGTACATTTTGCATAATCTCCTAAACAAGTAGGTTTATACTGAAAATGTGACAAGTAAATATGACTTAAAATTGCATCCACATTCCAAAAAGACCATAAAATACGTAAAAAATATTAATTCTATTAAATTTCAAAAATGGCAGCAATCTTGAAAATTGGAAAACTGTGTATTTTATGGTCTTTTTGGAATGTAGATGCAATTTTAAGACTTATTCATTTTTCACATTTTTGCTCTAAACTTACTCGTATGAATGCAAAACTTACATGACGCTAAATGTACACCGGAAGTAATTTTTTCATAGGCTGTAACTCCTAAACGAGTGAGTTTATAGAAAAAATGCCAAGAATAAAAAAGTGTTAAAATTGATAAAATAGGCTATAAGGTGTTCAGTTCCACAAGAAATTTCAAAGTTGGCCACCATATTGGAAATGGCGGCTGAATTTTGAAAAACTAAATTCATATTTTTTACTGCCACAAAAAATAGAGGAATGTCCCCCATTTAAAGTTTTCTCTAACTCTTACCGTTTCCGATATCCCAATGGTGGCCTCCTTGAGTTGATCACCCTGTAAGTTATATACAAAAATTTTAGTTGACCCAAAAGTTTGACAATTTTTATAGACTTGTGCTAAATAAGGTCACAGAAGAAGTAAAGAATACGCTCAGTTAGTGTAAAAGATCAAAAATATTTAACATTATCTGTAGGCATTCTCTTATGTAAAATTTCAAATGTTTTATTTTATGTGTCACGTGTCTTATATTATTTATGACTAATACTTTACCATAATATGTGTATTAAAACTTACAGATATGTGGATTCAAATGCCTTTAAATGAAAAACGGACACATTACAAATGTGGCGATAACTTTGTTACTCTGGACAAAGTACCAACTTGGACTTTACAATCGAAGAAATTAGGTTCATCTCTTGTTCAAAGGTGTGGAGGAAAGGATTACAACGACAGTGGTAAGTTTCTTTGCTGGTGTTTGTTAGTGTCTCTCGTCAACATTTTGGCTTGTTAAAAACTACTATGTAGGGGATACATTAAAACATTGATTTAAAAGTTGCCAAACATAGAAAAAAAGTGTGGCAACTTTTAAAAAACCCAACTTTTTTTTAAAAGCTCCCACCCCCTTGGAAAAAGGCTAGGCTGGTGCTAATCAGCAAGGGGAAAGGCGACCCGAATATGCCGCCGTCCTACAGACCCCTCTGTATGTTGGACACGGCCGGAAAACTGGTCCGCTCCGACTGACGTCTGCCGCGGAAGCTGCCGGAGATTTGTCTCCCCGTCAGTACGGCTTCAGAAAGGGACGGTCAACAATCGACGCGATATCCGAGGTACACAGAGCAGTCAAGCATGCCGAGGGCTTCAATAATTTCTCTCGCCGGATCGTGCTTTTTATGCTAGGAATGCTTTTAACTCGGCGGGATGGGTCGATATGATGAACGCGTTAGGGAACAGCTTCCACATACCAGCATATCTGTTGAGGCTGATTGAGGACTACCTGCTCTGTAGAACCCTTCATTACAAAACAAAAGATGGTTCGGGGATGATGGATGTTACTTCCGGTGCCGCGCAAGGTTCAATACTGGGCCCAGATTTGTGGAACGCTGCCTACGACAGCCTTCTGAGATCTGAGATGCAGAGGAGACTGTTTTAGTTGGGTACGCCGATGACGTTGCAGCCCTCGTTGCTGCACGCAACGTTGAGCTAGCCCAATTGAAACTGAACCAAGTCATGCGCGTTGTAAATGTCTGGATGGCTGATCATGGTCTAAAACTCGCTCAGAGCAAGACAGAGATCGTCATCCTTACAAAGTAACAGATTGAAACCATTGTTCCGCTACAAGTGGGGAACGTAGTTGTCCAAACCACGCAAACCGCCTAGTACCTCAGACAACAAGTTGAGCTGGAGGGACCAGATCTTCCGTACGGCGGACAAGGCTGCTAGGAGTGTCGCTGCTCTTAGTAAGCTTACAGGCAAGGCAAGGCAAGGCAAGGCTACATCGGAAAAGTCGCTGCAAGAATGGAAGAGCGCTCCCGCACTTTTCAGATGTGGCATGAAAGCTAGGAAAGGGAGACTCGAGGACGTTGGACTGCCAGACTCATTAGACAGGTCCAACCATGGGTGGAACGGCGGCACAGTGAGGTTGACTTTTATCTCACGCAGTTCTTGTCAGGTCACGGCTGTTTTCAGTCGTACCTGCACTTGATGACCAAAACGAATTCTAGGCTGTATTTACTGCCCATGCATTCCCAACGACGCGGAAAAAGCGGAACACTTTTTTCCGCTGTCCACGATGGGATATGCTCCGCCAGGAGGCCACTCAACATCTTGGGGTGCTGTTGATTGAATCGATTTGTGAGACCTTGCTGGAGGGTGAGGACAACTGGGACTGCTGGTCGCACTTTGTACGGAATGTCCTTCAAGTGAAAAAGAACGATCTAGATAGGATCACAGTCTAGATTTTGTAAGAAATTAATGGCTAGATAGACACGGTGTAAACCCTTCGGGCGTAGGCAAACTCGGCCTAAATCTGATGAAGTGCGACAAGTGTTTCCGAAGAGTAGAGGAGGTTTTTAGTGGGTAGTCTCTGGTCCTTAAACCCGTTGGAGTCCCACAATACAAGCTACAAGCAATAAAAAAATATATATTATGAACAAAAACGCCTAATTTTTAGAAAACAAGTGTTTAGGTGACACACATACACATAAGCCTCCACAGTAACAAGTAGCAAAGTGCCTGAACAGTTTTTTATTTTTATTATTCCTCTAGTTTCCAGCCCGGAATTGTTTCTACATTACTCCAGTCTAGATCTAGAGGGGGTCGTAGCATTATCTTATATATAAAAGAGGAAGTTTGTATATATTATATTTGAACGTTATGGACTCCGAAACCGCTCGACAGATTGTAATGAAACTTTCAGGCATTATTAAGCATTATTCAAGGATGGTTTGTGTGAAGTTTGGTGCAGATCTGTCAAAAGCGCTCCGCCCCAGTGGCTCTGGAGTTTCCCATGTTAACCTTATGAGTACTCATATTTAAATGGAATTAAAGAATCTTAACAGCTGTTTCAACTAAACAATTTGATTTTGTGATGATCAATAGCATTAAAAGGTTACAAAATGTATCAACAGGGTGCAGCAATATTAGTTTTCAAAATTTAAACTCGAGAACGAGTGCACTGAATTGAATGATTCATTTTTTGTTGTGTTCCTTAGTGAGAGGGGAAGTTTCTTTTGTAAGGAAATTTATAATCTATCCAACCGTTATTGAGTAATTCAATTTTAAAAATAATAAAAAATGGCCCACTTACATTAGCATTGGACAAAAATATTTTCATAAACCGTGGGATACAATAACATGTGTTAATTTCCAACTAAAATCTGAAGGCGAGTGAGCGTAGCGAACGAGCTCCAACCAAAAGGTGAGTGAGCGTAGCGAACGAACTTCAACCAGGACAAGATTAAGCGATGCAAACAAGCTCATCTTGAAAATGAACGAGCATTTAACATAAAACCAAAACCACATTAGGACAGAACGACATCTGTCGGGCCAGCTAGTCACTTATAAAATCCAATGGTGATTGGCGGCATTTGAACCTGGGACTAGAACTAACTCTCCCCAAACAGCCAGAACAGTAATTTAATTAGAAGATTAGTAATTTAGATTCCTTTTTTCTCAGTCCTTCAGTTCATCGCCAGTTTAGGAACATAAATGGAGTAAAGTGTTTGGACATAGGAAATGTGCAAAAGTGGTGTAGGGAGTTTTAAAGATCTGCACGACTCTTTTCACCGGTGTAGTCTGAGTACTGTCACTCATCAGTTTGGGGATTGCGGTGTGGCTGAGCTAGAGGGATTATACAAATAATAGGGGATGTCCCTACAAGACTATCAAGAACTGTGGTCAGCCCTATAAGTCTGAAACATGCGGGTCAGCAAGCACAGTTTTCTCAAATTCAATCACTAACTCAGGATATTGATGAATATCCGATGCTGAGCCCTTTGTGCAAATGTTAATAGTCTTCTGCAAACTCCCTAAGCTACTTATTCCTATTTTCTATGTTAAAACACTTTTCTGCATACACATCCCGTCAACTGGCAACAGTATTCTTGGCCCAGTTCTTGCATTTGGTCTAACTTGTTTAGCTGCGACAGGAGAGATGACCTTACATACAATCTTTGTAAAATGTCAAAATTAGAATCTGTAGAGTAATTACAAAATCTTGTTTGAAAAATGTTGTTGTTTAACGTGAGAACTGTTTGTAGGTTTCGGACCTTTCTCAGCCAACCCTTCACTAGCAGACAAAGTGTCAATGTGGGAGGGAGACATCACAAAGCTGGAGATAGACGCAATCGTCAATGCAGCAAATGAAAGCCTGCTCGGAGGAGGGGGAGGTGAGTCAAATAATTTGTTTTTTCGAATAACTTTTGAAAAGGTATTTTTTGCAGTGCAATTAACTGTCGTTTTAATGTAGGTATATTTTGAAAAGTGACTATCATGTTATGCGACATAACTAGATTACAATATTAGGCTAGTAATTAGCCTTTCATGACTGAGTTAAGCGATTAATCCTTAAAATTATGGGTGGGCCAATTGTCGATACTATGTGATATAGGATCCAATACCGATTTTAGAACCTGTGATTGTGGAAAAATCTTAATGTGTTGTGATAGCCGCCAAATTGGAAATTTTCAATTCAGGATATTATTCAGACAACTCCTGCACTTATTTTAGCATAAATCAGGTCAGGGCAGTCCTAGGGTTAATTGCTAAAAAAAGTGAACAAAGAAAAATAAACACAATGACGGATAGTTGTTTTGAAGCAGCTATTTAGTTAAAATAATATTCATTTGTACAAAGAACTTGTCACCTGTAGAAGGAATTTAAAAAAGTAAACACTCAAGAAAGCTAGTGACGTAATTTTGCTATGTTTATTATCCATACCGTTATCCGATCTAATATCTGTGATAATTACCCACCATCATTGAATCTATGTACATTCAAATTTCCCATGTTCATTTATTCAAACTATAAGATATTTAGTTGAAATAAAAGTGATATTTTGCCTACATCAGCACACCCAAACGTAACCACACATGAACACACGCCAAACAACGTTTTAGATGTTACAAAATGATAGGCCTAGTAAGTCTACTTGCAGTATCTTAGGTCAATGATTCCAGAACTCAATTTATCTGTGACCTGTTTGATATGACATCGAACAGCCATTCGAACATCGGATAGCCACTTTTTTTACCATGGAAATCTTCGTGCAAAACAGTTTTTAAAGAATTGAATATTATGACTATTCCAAATTTGATTATTTACAAAACATTGTTAGCGGTGCATTCAAATTTTGATGACTACATTAGCGAAAACTTTGACCACATATATAACACTAGATTTAAAAATAATTTCCAATATCCGAGACACCGACTGAAGCTTGTAGAAAAAACACCTAAATACATGGGAAAAAAACTTTTTAATAAACTACCCTCAACTCTAAAAAATGTAATTAATAATAAATCTTTTAAAAGCAGCCTTGCTGATTTTCTGATTAGCAAAACGTATTACAGTGTTAATGATTACCTCAATGAAACTAACCAATCAATATGACTCTATTTTGTATGACATAGAAACTAATTTTTTTTTCTGTCATCGTTTAACAAATTTTGCCAACTTGTTTACAAACATTTTTTATGCATAAGACATATTGTTGTACATTAGGGTAAGTTAGTAATAATTTTGACAATGTCATCTGTTTTTTAGCTGTGCTATGATTTAAAACGTTGATGTGACAATAAAGAATTATTTATTTATTTTATTTATTTATGATGTTGGAAATTTAGATTTTCATCCAGGGTCAGTCCCAGAAACTTAACTTTGTCAGTTGGGTGAACTGGTGTGTCATCTAACAGAAGACTGAAACCATTAGAGCATCTTTTTGTGATAGAAAAGTGCACAAGCTGTGTTTTTTCGGTGTTAACGGAAAGAAAATTGTTATCAAACCACTCAATTAAATTACTGGCTTCACAAAAGGTCGTAAGCTCTAAGCTCTTGATATCGCGATCTGAAATGGAGAGTGAGGTATCATCAGCAAATAGTGTGGGTGTGGCGGTCGAAGTGCATGATGGGAGGGTGTTGATAAAGAGGAGGAAAAGGGTAGGTCCTAAAACAGAGCCCTGGGGCACTCCTCTCAGAATGGTGGTCTTAACAGAGGAGTAGGGACGAATGAACCCAGTCTCGTCTACTGCCTGGATCTCTACGTACTGTGTTCTGCCACACAGGTAGGAAGCAATCCAACTTAAGGCTACTCCTCTTATTCCTACTTTACCCATTCTTTGCAGTAGTATGTTATGATTGACTGTATCAAAAGCCTTTCTCAGGTCAAAAAATATTCCTGCTGAATAGTTTCTTGAATCAAGCCCTCTTACAACTCTGTTTATTAGGTCAAACATAGCAGTCAGAGTGGACCTTCCTTTCAAAAAACCATGTTGTTTAGAGGTTATGATTTTATTATTTTCTAGAAACTTACAGAGCCTCAAGTTCATGGCTTTCTCGAAGACCTTAGAGAATACGGAAACAATTGATATTGGTCTATAGCTATTGCAAGCCTTGGGATTCCCTTTTTTAAATATGGGTCTAACAACCGACTCCTTCAGACGCTCAGGAAAAGTTCCACAGCTAAATGAGAAGTTAATGAGGTGACACAATGGATGGAGCAAATAATCTGAAACTTTTTTCAGCATCACAGGAGATATTTCATCGGAGCCTGAACTTTTTTTGTTCTTTAAACTTTTTACAATAGTGCGAACTTCTTCTACTGTTACCGGATACAGGAAAAGTGAATCTACACATTCTCTAATGTTATCAGTAATGTTTCCTTGGCTTATGGATGTTTTAACATTCGCTCCAACGTTAGAGAAAAAGTAAGAAAATTCATTACAGATGGTGTCAGGGTTTATGATTTTCTCACCGTTGTCACGCTCTAGAACTAATTTTTGTTTGAACTCGTTTTTTGAATGTTTTTTTGCTTTTATAATATCCCAAATAGCTTTTGTTTTGTTGTCAGAGGTCTCTATTTTCTGTAAGTTATTTTTTGACTTGATATCCTGGATCATTCGTCTGTATTGGCCCTTTAGTTCTCTATAATATGAGCTTAAGTAATGAGATGACTCTAAATATTTTACGTCACTGTAGAGATTAAGGAGTTGATTTTTCAGTTTGAGAACTTCATCTGTAAGATGTATCTTATTGACTCTGTTCTTTTGTACCTTTTTAATCTTTTTCGGTAATGCAACATCAAAAGCATAAATTATCTTGCCTACGAATCTCTCAAATTTTATGTTTAAGTCCGCAGCACCATAGACGTCATCCCAGTTTTCCTTTGAAATCAGATGTTCAAATAATTTTACGTTTGCATTAGAGTAAGTCCTTGAATATTTGTAATGAGCTGTAGGTAAAGGCTGGGTGGAATTGAAGTGAAACGTTGCCGACTGGGCGTAATGATCAGAAAGGCCTGTAATTATTGTTGATGAATCAATATTAATGTCATTTGTAAATATATGGTCTATTAAACTGCGCGAGTCTTTGACTTCGCGAGTATACCCTTTAACAATGTTGACTAATCCAAATGTAGCCATCACCGATACAAGCTTATGACTGGGAAAAGAGTCGCATGCAAGATCAATATTAAGGTCACCCATGATTATAGTAGTACCATGGTGCATGTGATACTTATTCAAGCATTCAGCTAGTAAGTCTAGAAATGTATCAAGTTGGCCCGATGGAGGTCTATACGCTGCCACAACAAACAGCTTGATGTTAAGATTAATAACCACAGATACAGCCGCCAGCTCACAAACACCCTCCTCAACAAACTCACTACAATCTAATGGTTCGCAATCAATGTCAGGGTGGCACCATATACCTGAACCTCCCCCTTTCATAGATGATCTACAGAATGATGTTTTGCAGCTATAGTTGTTCAGTTTTGAATGTACTATTTCACTGCCATTCAGAAAATGCTCAGTCAGACATAGAACGTCTGGAGACTCATCATCTATCAATATTTCAAGTTCGTCAGTCTTAGATAATAGGCCTCTTATGTTTTGGTGGAGGAACTTTATGTGCGAACGCTGATGCCTAATCCTCTGTCGAGAAAGAGTGCCCAAGGGACTCCTGGGGGTTTTCGGGCTTCTCCTAAAAAAGATTTGGCAGAAAAGGTACGGCTAGATGGGCCAGGACGGAAATGAAACTGCTGCTTAGGTTTAGATGGTAGGAGGGGTTCAATGGAGGATGGTTGGACAGAACTAAGAACTTCTTTGGAGCTGTCCGGGAGGCTTATGGAGACAGGGGTCCCTGAGGTTGACTGGATTTGTTGCGTAATGGATTGTTGGATGGACTCATGGGGAGCTGATGCCTGGTGATGATGTTGACTTGGGATCTGGCTTGATTTGGAGTCAATTTTCAGGGAATCAAGTAAAAGGTTGGCTAAAGCTAGTTTGCCCTTGTAGTTTAAGTGTAGTCCATGGCGTGTGTATAGTTGACGGGAAAAAGAATTGACGGGTATAAATATTACATTTTTGTAAGTGTGTGAGAGGGATAGTAGTTTTGTATTTATTGATGATATAGTGTTATTTAGGGAAGGGTTGTCATGTCTGTTTGGTATACCTACTAAAAGAATTTTTGGCTGTGACACCTCACTAAGAAAATTACTTAGAATTGAATCAAAGTTGTTACAGCATCCAGAGTTTACAATATTGTTAGTGCCACCAACAATAACAATGACACTTTCTTTCCCAAGGTTCTTATCTTTATTTACACTAGACAATACCTGTTCCATCTTAGCATTAGGCATTACTGTACCAGATACATTAAATTTACCATGTAAGTCATAAGATAGAATATTTGCGACATTTCTGGCGTGACTGTCACCGTATATTTTAACACATGGTGATAATGTTGAACTAGCTACAGAGGAAGCCACAGGAGTGGCTTTATGAGTGACTTTGGAGGAGGTGACAGTAAATTTGTTCCTTTTGTTTTTATTTTGTTTTTTCATACCTTTACTGGAATTATGACAGGATTTTTGGTAGGATTGTACGGGGATTGAGTCCTGGGGTAGAGGTTTTTCATGAGATGGTTCACAGAGGCTGGAGAATCTGTTGGACGTGGTAAGTCCAATGGGGGAGATGGTGGGAACATTCGCTTTATTAGTAACCCTGGTGCGTTTACTACCCTTAGACTTAACAACCGTCCAACTTTTGGAGTTTAATTTTTTTAGTTTTACAACTACATTTTCTGAATCACCTTTATTTACATTTGCTGCTTTGTAAGGTTCTGATTGATTAGTTGCTTTACCAGACTTTTTTGATCCGTCAACAGGAGAGACAAATTGTTTGAACCATTCCAAAAAGTCACATTCGCTATCATATACAGAACAAAAGTAGAACAATATTAGCTTAGTATTCAGTAAAACGTTTAGACCACACTCGAATCCATTGTTTTGCTGGTAGCTACCGACTTCATAGAACAACCAAGTTTTTCTGCAATACCATTTGCATGTTTGGCATTTATGTCCCCTAAGGAATCAAGATGGTAGGCTACCTTGCTCCTAATGTCGCAAAACAAGAGACTCCAATGAGAGCCTTCGTCTTGTTCATCAACGTTTACATCACTAGAACCTTTGCCATTACTTATGCTACAGAAGACATAGTTATATGCAGAGCATTCTAGACTCTTTAGCAAGTCGGTTACATCAGAAATACTACCTAACTTTAGTAATTCGGTTACAGAGGGATCAATGAGTAGGGTTTTGGATTTGATTGTGGTGGGATGGTCCTTGAAGGAGGAAAAATAGGACTGTATCATGGAGTCATCAAACCAGAGGGATGTGGACATACATTTAGGTGGAGGTTTGTTAAGTAATGACAAACTATTCATTTTAAAGTTATGAGGGCTTTTTAAAACTTTATTTTTAGCCCATTTTAACATTGTGCATTTACAAACTAAGACCATAATCTCAAAATAGTGCTAGATAAAGATAAGTATACACTACCAGTAATTGTCGACCTATTTTCACTCGGTTATGACTGATGTATTTTTTTGGCCGCCATCTTGGATCCACCATTTTGAAATGTGATAAATTATTTTAAATATGAAGAGGGTGTTGTGACCTATCATTTTGAACTACTTTTTTAAGCTAAACTCAATGCCGCAATCTATTTTTTGTTATAAAGTTTTATTTATGAAATATTGAAATTTTGTTGTTAAAAATGTCAATATTTCAAAATAAAAAAATGAAAATGAAAAACAGATCATGGAATTAAGTTCAGCTTAAAAAAGTAGTTCGAAATGATGGGTCACAACACCCCCTTCATATTTAAAATAATTTATCACATTTCAAAATGGTGGATCCAAGATGGCGGCCGAAAAAAATACATCAGTCATAACCAAGTGAAAATAGGTCGACAATTACTGGTAGTGTATACTTATCTTTATCTAGCACTATTTTGAGATTACGGTCTTTGTTTGTACATGCTACCAGCCGCCTGTGGATCCCGGGGCGGGTACTATGGAAGGTAGTGGCTGTGAATGCATGTTTGTGGTGAGTGTAGTTTCTTTGTGAGTTTGTGAGGTATGAGTGGTCTGTGTGAATGTGTTAGGGCTTTGTGTGTGGAATGCATGTGCCAAGTCTCGGTTAATTCTAATTATGTGTATTTCTAATGGGATAATTTCCTACATTTTTAACGTGCAAACTGAACGTGTGATATATGCGTGCATTAACTTTTCATACACTGTATCGTTTTGTATATATTTATCTTGTAAACTAGTTTTTTCTTATTTATCTTTTTCTTGTATACTAATTCTGTGTACAATATGTATATATATAGATTTTCCTTTTTGAATGTAGCCTAAATTATTGTTTTTTGTGCGGATGATTGACTCAATCCCCAACCACAGGCATATAGCCCATTTGGGGATTCATATTTCATAAATCGTTTATGTACCATTCAATCTGATGTTCTGTATTGAAATAATAAAGAATTCATTCATTCAAAAAAAAAAAAAAAAAAAAAAAAAGCACAATGTTAAAATGGGCTAAAAATAAAGTTTTAAAAAGCCCTCATAATTTTATAATGAATAAAGATTTTTAAAAACGGTTTGCGGCATTGTAATCAGGGTAAAAATGTAGTTCGGAATAATGGGTCACAACCCCACCTTTACATTTGAAAAAAAAATGTTGCATCCAAGATGGCGGCCGGAAATGACCACCTTGTCAAAATGAAGTACTTACTACCCAACAATGTTTGGAAGTGGTCTGGGATTGATATTTGAAAAAATGTAGAAAAAAGTTGGGGGGGGGGGACAATTAAAACTCACCCTGTATGTCATCCATCTGTTTATCTCTGGATAAAAACCCTCAGAGGTTGTGGTAGTAATTAAAAATTGTTATTCCTGGTCATCTTCTTGTTTGATAACATCAATATTTTCAGGCCTAATCTAAACAAAGTTTAAGCAGTCAAACATGTATTACAAACAAAAAGCTGCCAAGATGAATTAAAACGTGTTAACATTGTTATTTTCCTACTCTATAAAAAAAAATCGAGAAGAAAAATAATTTGCATGGGCTTTTCTTTGAAGACTTGTGGGTAGAGCCTCGATTAATATACAATATACATCAATGGTCTTACTTATCTCTACTAATCTTACTTATTTCCTTTAATCAATGACAAAATCATAGACTAAATAAAATAACCTCATAGTTATATCGAATATTTTTACATTTATCCAGCTGTTAGTTCAAACAAATCATATTGCATTCAGTGCTAATAAACTACTAACAAACCCAAGATTTTAAAGACTGCTCTAAAAATATATCAGAACATCTAGTATTTTATTATGTATATTTATTTAAATAATCTATCCTCCTCTTGCCGAATAAATGAACATATCAATGATTATAGATTATACTGATTATAGCATTACATATAGTATAAATAAGTCAAGCCTACAATGTCGTTTCATTTTATACAAATGCTGAATTTGTGTCACAATCGCTGAATGTTAACAGCTGTAAACAATTACTGTAAACTGTAAACGTTAAGCAAATGTATACCAAAAGCTAGTCTAAAATGTTAGCGTTGGCTGCTAGACTAAAAAAAAATTAAAACTTAATTACTAAAAAACTGAAATCTTAACTAAAATTATGGCTTCGACATTCCCTAGTTCTCAAAATTATCTTTCTTTCAACACAAAAATAATGAAAATCTGTCAAGTGGTTGATTCAGAATTGTGAAATAAAAAAAAAACCCTGTTACGTTTTAATAAATTATATGATAACTAGTGGCCTGTAGGGGCCATAGCCCCTAATTTGGACTACAATAAAAAAACGATATATAAAAAGACAAATATTCGAAATATGTTTTTAAAATTATCAATTTTATGTTACTTAAAATTAACAGTGTTTCTTGTTTTATATCTTGGTTTTCCTTCCGTTGGAGTCGTATATTAGTTGCTTCTGATGTGTCAATGAAATACAATTGTAAAATAATGATTAAATCAATAACACAACATATTAACAAATGGAAACGTGCACACGGTTAGGCCTGAGCCCGGAGAACGACGAATCTGAGCTGAAATCATACAGCCAAACATTGGACATCTTTTTTAGTTTAAAAGTGAAGATTTGTTTTGTAATCTTACGAATTCTGTTATAGTTTCCATTTTGAGAACCATATGTAAAGGTTAAAATTATTATTAATTATTATGAAGGCAACTCCCCATTTCGCTGTACTAAGTCAGAAATATATCTATGAATTTGTCCCTGCATTTTAAGACAGTTAGGCCCATTTCCCGGAATCTCGTTTTGTGTAGCGCATAGCGACGCAAAAGCTATTGTACTGTTGTATTGCCTTATGTTTTTTATGAAGTTTGAATCATGTAAAAACAGTTCTTTTAGTTCGTCATTTACTTGTGGTTGTGGCATGTCCATTGTGGCAACATGCGTTGAAATGTCCATTTGTGGCCTCCTCTGCGATGTGAAATGTGCCACAATGCATGCAAGTGCTTTAAGAGGACCTAGATTGTGAGAAACAACACTCAACTCATTTTCCAGCGTTCTTCTAAAGACAGGTTGTAAAACAGCTTCTGGATTTCTTTCACAGTTAGGCCCTACATGACGTTCTATTTTGCATTTTTAAGTCTTTTGAATTCCTGGACACTCTTCCACGTCTTGCAGGTCTTCCCCTACCCTGTCTAGTTACTTCACTCATTATAAAAACGGAAAACAAAACAAATTAAACACCATTCATTTTGAAACATTATTTACCAACATTTAATTTTGGAATAAATGTAAACATTGCAAATAAATAAGTAACAGCTGATAGAATGCAGACGTTTTTCAGTTCCCATGCATTTCTTATGGTGGATATTTTACGTTTTATCTTGTTTTCTGGTAATTTCATGGGAATTCTGCTATTTTTCCCGAGTCCCTGGGGTCAAGGCCTTTAATTTAAGACCTCTCCCACTTTTCTGCGACTTACCAGACGTCCACAATTTTCTGGTAAAAATTTTCTCTTACAGAATTATAGATAGTAAAAAATTGTACTGTTAACAATTCAACAATCCCTCCTATTTTATCATAAACCGCTATATTTTCATTCATTGTGCATTTTAGCTCAACTCTTAAGTTTCCTGATCCTTATCAACCAAAAAAATTGTGAATATGACTGTTAATTTTATTTTCAATGTTGCTGCTGTATTCTGTATTGTAGTGTGTTAACAAAGTTGTTGTGTTGTAGTGGACGGTGCCATTCACCGAGCTGCTGGGCCGGAACTGAAGGCCGAGTGTAAGACTCTACACGGGTGTCCCACGGGCCAGGCCAAGATCACGGGTGGCTACAGGCTGCCTGCCAGATGTGAGTGGACCCTCTAAACAATCGCAATCACTTGCTTACAGCCAACTGGTCTGAATTGTACCAAAGAGGTGTATATGCTGTTTCTCCGTTGTAGGCACTGAGTAAGACAAATTCTGGATCCAGTTCTCAGTTTTTGTTATTATTTGTTGTTATTACCAATGAAGATTGAGACATGTCTAGGAGACAAATTTTAACCTAAACATGAATGAACGATAAGTGTAGAAAGGCCACAGCCTTATTTTCTGCTCTGTGGGTGGCAGTGGATGATCATGGAGTTTTCTGTAATTGGTTTTCAGCTGATCATACAATATACCTCTTTGGTCGTGGTTGTTCGTGTACATAGAATAAAATTATGACCAAATAAGTAATAGAAAAGTATTTTAATAAGAGTTAAATTGTGTGTACATTCCTGTAGAAAAACAAAGATCAGACTAACTTAATGCGTTGCTATGACAACGTCATCAGCTGACGCTACACCAGCCCCCCACGGAGAAAAGGAATCTATACATCATTTTGAAAAGTAACCCGTGGTCGGATTTGTCTTCCAGAACGAGTTGTATAAGAATTCGTAGATGGAGTTTGACAAGATGGTGGTAGTTTTGAGGATTCCTCTGCTTGTCCAGTCGGCACCAAACGTTTCGTGGGCTCAGGAATAGGACTTTCATCTGCAATAATATAGGCTGGCTTGACCCTGTCCAAAGATACCTTAGTTTCTTGGCCTCTTACAATGATGGTAATTGTCTTTTCGTCACGGCATATGACCTTGTAAGGACCAGAATATGGAGCCTGTAAAGATTTTCTTAAGCTGTCTTGTCGGAGGAATACAAAGTCACAAGTATTGAGGTTCTTGAACACAAACAACCCTGGTTTAATGTGGCGTGATGCGGGTGTAGGTCTTAGTCGATTCATATGCTTACGCAGCCCTGATACCAATTCTTGTGGCTCGTTGCTCTCCTTCGTCGTTGGTAATTCCAGATATAAGAAATTGCGAGTCAACTTGACAGAACCACAGACTTGGTCTTTCAGGCCAAAAGGGCGGAAGTTTGACGGCTACTCTGTTCACCGACATGTTTTGAGAAGTGCTGGGTTGTCCAATCCGTTGACGCAGTTCTTCATTCGCAGTTCTAAGTTCGGCGAGTTGAGTCTGCAGGTCTTCTAATGACATCGTTCGAAGGAGGAAACACAAAAGATTTAAACTCTTCAAAGAAAATAAGTCTTTAGATAACGGTTGTAGTCGGGGTCACCATTTTGGTCGTGGTTGTTCGTGTACATAGAATAAAATTATGACCAAATAAGTAATAGAAAAGTATTTTAATAAGAGTTAAATTGTGTGTACATTCCTGTAGAAAAACAAAGATCAGACTAACTTAATGCGTTGCTATGACAACGTCATCAGCTGACGCTACACCTCCATCTTTTACATATACTGTGTTATCATAGACTAACGTATGTACGTAGGTCACTTTAGAGCTGCATAACTTGTGTTCTACCATACAAAAGTTTATAGTATTATATATTTTCTTTTCCAGGATATTACAAAGAACAAACTTAACACTGACAGTTCCCAAAAAAAGTTTTGTTGAACTGTTTACTTCTAAGAACAAAAACAAAGAAAATGGGCATGTAACACTTTTACAAAGTAGACGCTTGGAAAAACTACAAAAGATTTTTAAAATCAGAAATCCAACATAGGCCTATAGGCCTACTCCTACCAAACTTTTAGAAAATGTCTCTTTACATGAAAATGTCATATTATTGTATGTAAAAAGTGTATGAAATAATTTTATGTCACACCGCGCTAAATTGATACCCAAACGACTAGTGACTAGTCAATAGCCAGTGGAGGAACTTAGTTTTAGCGACTAGTCAAAAGTCGTTTGCCAGAATGATGTAGGTTAACAGTTTGATATAATAAATACCTGTTGAATATATTTATCATTTTTCAGAAGCTGGCCTTATTTTTTAGTGCTTTCAAATATTATTCATCTCTCCAAGTGAGTGTGTATCTGGATTCCTCACTGTTAAACCAGTCGTCTCTTCTTCTACTCTCCTCATAAGCATAAGATCTCTTAATAATTGTCTCCTCCTCCTGTTTTCAATATTTCTTTTTTGAACTCGAGAGATTTTCTGTTCTTCTAACAAAACTGATTAATTAACTGTTTAAATTGTTCTATAATCTATTGAGTCCTGAATATTACAAACATCAATATACTCCAAAAAAAGCCGATGAGTTTTTTTTTTTAAACAGCTGTTTTTTTGTTTTAAAATTTGTTCTCTAAACATTTACCTTTGAGAGCGCCTTGCACCTTAAGGGTAGGGACTTTTGAATTCTAAAGCCTTATTGCAAACTAAAATTTGAGACGGATTTATTGACACCTCAAACGTTGAAATTGATACATAAATAAGGGAGGAGGAGCGTTAACAAAAAACGGCTTCACATTTTATAGATAGATATAGATTCTTTATTTTTTTGTAGATGTGATTCATACTGTTGGACCAAGAGGAGAGAAACCAGACCTGTTGGAGCAATGTTATCAAAACTCTCTAGATATCGTCCGCAAAGAGGGCCTCAGATCCGTGGTAAGTTGTAAGGAGGGTTCGAACTAAATAAACAGTACCAGCAAACTGACACAGATTTTATCCCATTGGTTTGTCAAAAGCTCTTATAATGGGTAAACAGTGATATTATAAGGGGGAAAGTAACAAAAATTGCAATAACTTTTAAACCGTAATTTTATAAGCTTATGGGGGGGGGGGGGTGTACCGTTTTGTACAGAGTAAAAAAGACCATAACATAGGAAGTTTTAATTTAAATTGTTCCAGCTGCTTTTGTAAAAATGTTACTTTTATAAATTTTTATAGAAAAATTCCAGTTAAAAATAAAGTTTTAAAATTTTCTAGAGGTAACATAGATTATCCACATACCAAATTTCATCAAAACCGGACTGCAGGTTTAGTCTGTAGCCTCTGTACACATCCACACACACAAATCATAAAAAAAATAGACAAACACACTTCAAAAACAACTTTTTTGGGTACAGGGGGGAAATATATTCTAGTTTGTACTTAAATCACGAATACTTGAACAGAACTGGTATGGATCTTAAACATTATGTGAGTCGGTGGATCAGTTGGTAGTGTCGCGGACTTCGGGCCCAAGGCAGCGATGTCGTGGGTTCGGATCCTGGTCACTGCTACTAATATTTATCAGTGCAGTTCACCTTTGTACTGTACGGGCTCACTCCTTGCTTTGCTGTAAACGATCCACGCATGGGCGCTTAGTCTATGTGGACGGGCAAATGCAAGGTTAAAAGAGGCCGCCAACCTCTTTATAAAAAAAAAAAAAAAAAAACATGTTACTGGCCCTAAAGTAAACATTATTTAACATTGCTTAAATGGAGTTTATGATCCACACTGGTTCTGTTCAAGTATTCGTGGCTTAAATGGTTTCCTCTTTTTCATAGTAATAGATTCAAAATTCATAACAAAAGATTATTTCTTTATGTTATACAGGTTGTCACAACAATCTGGAACGGGCTATACATAACCATATTTTACATACAAAAATAAATCGAAAATGTTCAGTAAATTTTTTTTTAGTTGTAAAATGGGGCAAAACTGACTAGCTTAAGGGTGTTTGGTCGAAAATTTGATCACAGATTTTTTGTTATTTTTCAATTATACAGTAGAGTCCCGATAATCCGAACTTCGGTAATCCGAAAGTCCGCTTAATCCGAAAACGTGTTTTTTTTTTTTGTTTTTGAAAAAAGGATATTCAAAAAAACTGTGAAAAAGTGAAAAACGGTTATGCTTTATTAATAGAAAAAACAGTGAATAATAGAATGGCAAGTACAAATTACACAAGTACAGTAGCCTACTTTTCAAATGTATAGTACAGTAAAGACAGTGTTTGAAACTTACATATAGTGTTGAACTGAAGGTCTTAAGTTGGTTTAAAAAAGACTGTTACAATTTTTTGACGAAGATTAGAGGATCTCTCTTTAGAAGCATAATGGCGCCAACGCCTTAGAAACAATGTATCGGCTGGGGTCGAGACGGACTGTTGTTCAACGTAACGTAGCGCTAGATCAAAGGCAGCCGCCGCGTCCGAGTGGGATACTCTCTGCTCGCTGCCGTCGTCAGTTTCGCCTTCACTCTTGTCTGAGATGTTTTCTGGTTCCCTCAAAACCCTTTCAACGATCTGCTGATCGCTTAAAACTTCATGATCATTGTCGTCAGCTTGTAACCACTCATTCACGTCATTTGCATTAGTGTCCTCACACCCAGGAATGTTTTGTAACAGCTCCTGCACCTGCACAACATTGTTTCTTTCTTCATGTTGATTCAAGTTGTCCTGAAAAGTTAGGCTTGGCCACAGTTTACTCCAAGATTTTTTCAACAGTTGTTCACTTGTAGATTCCCATGCTTCTGCTACCCAATAAATGACGACTTTAATGTTTACCATCTTGAGCTTTTGAAGCAACGAGAGCGTTTCGTCCTGATCTTCCAGTATTCTTCTCAACAACTTTTTCCTATATGAGAGCTTCACATGCTGTAGTACATATTGATCCATTGGCTGGATCAAAGGGGTCACATTCGGTGGTAAAAACACGGCCCTTATATCTCCACTTATTAATTCGTCGTCTGACGGGTGAGAGGTTGCATTGTCGAGAAAAAGTAATGCTCGAACCGGTAAGCCATTTTCGTTACAAAATCGAGTGACTTCGGGAACAAAGTGGTCGTTAAACCATCCCTTAAATAGTGCTGAGGTCATCCAAGCATTTTTGGAGTTTTTGTAGACGACAGGCAATGCATTTATATTTAGGTTTTTAAATGCCCTTGGTTTTGCTGCTTTGCCGATAACCATTAAAGGGAGTTTATGATTTCCTGCAGCATTACTACAGGCCAAAACTGTCAATCTTTCCTTGCTTATTTTTAAACCAGGTGCACTTATTTCTTCTTTGGAAGCCAGACTTTTTTTAGGCAATGCCTTAAAATTAAGCCCAGTTTCATCAGCATTGTAAATTTGCTGCGGTGAATAGTTTCCTTCAGCAATCAGTTCAGCAAATGTATCTGAAACGTATTCGGTTGCAGCAGCCTCATTTGACGATAGACGTTCACCCGTAATGGCTAATTGTCGTATGCCGTGACGCTTCTTAAAACGATCAAGCCAACCTGTGCTAGCAGAAAAAGATGTGTCTCCGTTCAATAATTCATTTAGCTGTAGAGCTTTTTCTTTGATCAAGGGTCCACTAATCGGGGTACCTTTTTCTCTCTCTTGAGAAAACCAAACAAACAAAGCACTGTTGAGGTTCTCCAGTGGTGTTGTTTTTGCTGTATGGCGGGATTTTGTACACTTACTTGTGGAAGCAATACAAAACTGTTCTATTTTCAAACGGTTTTTCTTCCAGTCGGTGATCGTAGCATTCCCCACACCAAACTCAACAGCCAATTTTGACGCACTTTCACCATTGTCCAATCGTTTTAACACTTCAAGTTTGTCTTGCAATGTAACCGAAGTATGTTTACGTTTTGAAGCCATTTCTTCACCACACTCACAACCTCAAAAGATAACGTTACAAAGTGTACATAAATGTACGCGCTGCCACCTATCGGGGAAAGCTGAAACTACTGTACTGTACTAGCACCATCGCGTAACGCCAGTAATGCAGACACGAAAAGTGACCCAGTACGTGCTGCCACCTATCGGGGAAAGTTGGAACTACCCTAGCACCATCGTGTAACGCCATTAATGCAGACACATAAAGTGACCCAGTACGTGCTGTCACCTATCGGAAAAAGCCGAAACTGCTAGCACTGTTGTGTTACGACACTTAGTTGCACTTCGTCAAAGTATTATGTAATATCCGAGCAGCTGGGCGAGATAGACTCGTTGTTAGTAGGCCAGTGGGCCAACCTAAACGTTGTATTTCATAGTTACGTGCATTTTAGTAAAAATTTCGCTTAATCCGAAATATTCGGTAATCCGAAATGGGTCCGGTCCCAACCATTTCGGACTATCGGGACTCTACTGTACTAAAAATTAGAGATGCATATATATAAGAAATATTTTTTTGAATATTAAGGGAGATATGGAGTCTTATTCTACCCCATTTTACAACTAAAAATTGTAATATTTCAGCTATTTCTTATTCGATCTTTTTGAACTTGGCACCATTGGATATGAAATTAAAATTGAAAAATAAAAGTGTTCTTGACATTTTTTCATAAATTCAGCCATTTTTTTAGTAATTAAAGTTTAAAAATTTAAAGTGGCCGCCATTTGAAAATAAACGTTGGAAACAATAATTTTTTTTGTAGATTTAGAAATTTATCCTATAAAGCTCCATACCAAATTTTAAAGCTTGATACATTAATCCATTACGGAAATATAAATGTTTAAGTGAACAAACAAAATGGTAGATAGCGGCTAAACAAAGTTGAAATCCAAAAAATTTTACCAAGCATTTTTTATTTATTTTTGTTTGTTAAATATGGTTATGTATAGCAGAGGATTTTTGTGACGCCCTGTGTTTAAACTTTACAAGCACCTATGAAACCTAAAAACCATTGATACACATTTTGGAACTGTTTCCACTTTCAAATTACAAATTACTGCTTTCTGCTTGCTGCCATGGCCACTTGTACCCAAATAGGTACATGGCCTCGCCAACACGATGTCGCCAGTTCTCTCGGTCCTCCGAATCTTCCTCTACTAGTCTCATCTTTTCCATATCCTTCCGGACTTGATCCCACCACCTAGCCTTTGGTCTTCCTACTGGTCTCCTTCCTTTCGGATCTCCCATTAGTTCCTTCCTCAACAAGCTCTCCTCAATTCTCCTCAAGATATTCGATCATTTTGAACTTGATACCATTGGATACGGAATTACAAATTACAGTACATCAAATTAATATCTGAATCACTTATTTGAGGACTAATTTATCTTTAGTTTTGTAACTTAAAGATTATTTGTTAACTCTAAACATTACATTTATGTTATTCCGTTCAAGTCCATTCTATTTCTAACTGTTTATGATTTACATTTGCAGGCATTTCCCTGTATCTCAACAGGAATCTATGGTGAGTAACTAAATTAATACATAATTTTAATAATTATTTCAGTTGAATGGCTGGATGTATGCTAAGTTGGCAATGGTGCATTTCTATAGACAATGTTTATATTGTGAGGATTTTCTAAAAGCTGTTTGGATTCTTATCAATATTTAATCAACAAAATTGGCAAATTACTAGTAGCCAACTGATTTTACTTCATTAACTGGTCTTCGGAATTCAGTTGTTTAAAGTAAAATGGTCAATAATCATACAAAAAAGAATAATTTATCTATTATGCTGCACATAGATAATCACTTGCATTTCCTGCATTACTTTTAGCGAATTTCCCATATAGGGAATAAGCTAAACCCTAGGTCTCATGGTAAGACCTGTACCCAGGACCGATTTACTTTTTCATTTTGATGTCCCCAGAGGCCAAAAACACCATCTGTTTGAGTTCAAAACTCATATGGTTACAGAGAAAATTCAAAAAATTGAAAATTAAAAACTCTTTTGTTATTCTTATGGAGAATAAGTAAACTGTTGTAGTTTGTTTGTTTATGGATATAGTTTAGTCAAACTTGGCAAATTTATTTATTTTATACTAAATAAAATCAGGCAAATGGAAATTCCCTTAGTCTGCAGGTTTGCTGTGGCGGGAGTATTATTAATTTGCAAATCCAACTCATTGCAGTAAGAGTAGCACTGTCTGGCTGACGGAACGTATGTTAAAAATGCTACTGTGTTTCCCAATCAGCTGGCCTGTCATTTTGTTACTGTGTTGCTGGTTTTGTCTGTCTCCATTGCTTCAATGTGTTAATGTCTATATATTGGAGTCTATAATATATATAGTCTATAATATTGGAGCACTAAGAATAGTCTATTGATTTCAATTATGATTGTAATTATACTCCGTTCACATAAATTTAGGCGGTTTGATTTTGTTTAGGGGAAGCGATGTCATTCCCTCCATCTAATTTTATAACTTTGAAACAACAGCGGACAGCTGATCAGCTGATATTACATACATTAAGCTAAAAAAAGTGGTGGGAAACCTTCCTCTTAAACCTCCTAAATTTGTGAACGGACTTTAAGTTTTATTGCTTGTTTTATCCCAAAAATGTTTGCCTGATTTACATTATGTAGTGTTTTTTTTTCAAAAATAATTAAATTAAAGTTTAAAACAAATATACTTACTTGCATACTTTCTTAAGTACTTCAAATGGCTAACCATTTCTTTTTTCTTTGAAAATAATATCCAAATATTTACAATCTACAATTACAAAATAGAGAAAGAACTGAGCTTCAATATAGATATGGATTTATGTAAAAAAAATTGGCCAAAACTTGTGTTTTTGACATTGGAATATCACGGGAAATAGTTTTCCCGGACCCCTCTTTCACAAGGGCAGTATTCCATATCCCCTGAACACGGGAAAAGTCCACAAAAGAAAATTCGAGAATCCATACTTCAAACAAATAACCTCCAACTCCATGGTTAGTGGACAAATTTGAATGCCTTAGATATGGTCAGGAATTTTTTCTTAATATAAAATTTTTCTACAGGATATCCCCAAGAAAATGCAGCAAAAATTGCGCTCACCACTGTCAGGAATTTCTTGGATAAAAATGCTGACTCTGTGAGTAGATTATTTTTGTTTTGCTATTGTAAACGAACAGTTGTTTCATGTTTTTGGTCTATTACAATTTTGTTGGCGTAAAGTAATCTGACTATGACCATCGACTTTTGGATACTGAAGTAGATGTCCCATCTATATGGATCAGAGCTGTCACAAATTTTCTATTGAAAAAGAACAAAGTTCTTTGAGCCAGCAACAGATTGCTCTAGTTTATAGTTCTATTGGTAGTCTATGACTATTAATATTGCTGGTTCTTGTGATTTTCAAAGTGAACAAATTACAATTTAGGTGAAAACAATGCAATTAGGTACTTCAACAATGATAATAGCTATCAATTATTACTTTTGATACATTGTATTACTTTTTACAATTTAAATTCACAAGCAGGAGTATTTTTTAGCATGTCCTCGACTCCTGCTGTTCAAAACAAGTTTAGTAAGGAAATTGGCAACAATCATTTTCCTTCATTATGACAAAACGGGTTTCTCAGCATCTAGCCAGTACTTTTAACTAAGATTTCAAAATAAATAGTTTTAAATTCAACTTACACGGCATGTCATTTTTTCAGATCGATCGGGTCATATTTTGTCTGTTCCTCGAGGAAGATATTGAAATCTACAAAGGGTGCATGCCAATTGCATTCCCTTTGGCCAAAGTCTAAATTTGTTGTTAATTCATTTCCATTAGGTTAAGTATGAGGTTGTGATTTTTATCATGTATTGATAATTAAACTTTTCTTTTTACTCAACTTTGTTTTATTCATAACGTCCCCCTGTCAACAATTAACCTCTTAGGGATACACATCTACTTCTTCCATGGTAATCAAATACCAAACATTTTAATGATGTTAAATGGTAATTTCTAATTTATCCAATAACCCTCTCGTTAAATCATGCTGTGTTCATAATCTTGTATTCCTTGAACCGTAGGTAATATAACTGCAAGAGCCAACAATATTGTTTATCAGACTATCCTAATTTACAAATTTTTTGCAAATAACAATCTAACACAATTCCATTTTTCTTTACCCTTCTTCTTGGGCTTTTGCAAGAATTTCATTAAAAGCTTGTCCTCCATTTCTTCAATCAAGTGTTAATTTTCACACAATAGATTTTCTGTAAAATTCAATCTTTTTGTTAAATTTGCATACAACAACAATTTAAGATTTTCAGTTTCAAAACCCATTTTAGTGGAAAAAATGGGAAATAAATTATATTTTATAAATTAACCGAAAAACTATATACTTGCGTGCTATTACAATTTCAATTACCGAATAATATAAAAGAAATTTGGCCAGAAGTTGGTCAGTATTAAGAATTGATGAAGGATCCTTACTTGTGGGGTGACAAATAAAGTAAACGAGAGGTCGTCCAGTGGTCGAACTCGACCAAAAATATGTAATGTACTCACTTATCTATTTTCACCCCACACTGTAAATAAAACATGTGATTGGAGTTTCCTCCATTTGTTTTGATTTTCTGTTTATATTTCGTTGTTATTTCGTAACCAGCATAGCAACGCATAAGATCCATTTTAATTTTTTCAAATTTTTAAACTCATTTTTTGTGCTTATCTTTGAGCCTATTTAAATTTATAAAGGGATTCTGCACACCTACAGGAAAATAGCTTTCCAACGGTATGCGTAGATTTTCCCTACGATTCACACGAGCTGAGAAAAAAGGTTTTAAAGAAACATGCTTGCCTATTAATATATAGATAGATGAAGCAGGTGTTTTAATTTTAAATTTTATTTATGGCCCTGTGAAGGATTGACGATGGAGCACTTTATTTCCAAACCTGTAGGCCTACAGATGATTTCCAACCAGCAGACAAGTCTCAATCTATATTATTAATAACTTACATAAAACTTTGTAAACAATAAGGCTTTTTTGTTTTAAGATTTAATTCCACATATTATATACCAAAATGTTCGTCTAGGTGTGTAGATTTGCAAACTGACCATACATTTGTGAAAAAGTCCCTTGGGTTCTGCCCCAGTGGCTTTTAAAGATCCCAGGTTATCCATATGAAGAACATATTTGTTTACACTATGATCAGCTGGATAATTTAATTGCTGTTAATATTTTAGTTAGAAACATGTGCTACAAACATTTACTGACTTGGTTGAAATTAAATATTTTTACTATTTGAATTTGGGTTGGCGTAAATATTACAATGGAAAAAGCAAGAAAACCTAGACATTTTAAAAAAGAAACCTGAATAATTGACTGCAATCATGGTGGAAGGAAAAAACATAGGTGTGCTATTCCCACATATTTTGACGTCACTCGGATTGCAAACAAAAGATCACATGATTGTAACTGTCAAATTAGTATATGTATTTGTTTTGATTTGGTTGTTATTGTTTTTATTATTATAAAAACAATAACAATCAAATCAAAACAAATACATACTAATTTGACAGTTACAATCAGGTGATCTTTTGTTTGCAATCCGAGTGACGTCAGAATATGTGGGAATAGCACACCTATGTTTTTTCCTTCCACCATGGACTGCAATACACTACAATGATACACTGTGCTGCATTTCTTAAACAATCATTGAAAGAGCCGATTTGCAAACTATAGAAACATAAGAAAGTCATAGAACACCACCAAGTAGAAGAAATAGAAATAATGTTTTTTTTTAGAATTTATAATCATGACCAAATAAAATGTGGCTATGAGTGGGAAACATTTGTAGAAAACACTAAAAAAAAAACAGCTTTTAAAAAATTATAAGATATTTACAAGAAATGTTGTTTTTATCAAACATCAAACTATTATGTAGGCCTACATCGTGAGTATTTACATAATCTTGAGTCAATTCCTTTAAATTTTTTGGAAATTATGACTGTTATTCGTTTAAAAAATAACACCTGTAATGCTGTAATACTTCGCAATTGCTTGAATTTGAGCAACAGGTACTCTAGTCTGAATAAATTGTTTTATTCTAGTTTGTATCTCTCAATGTGAGCCTAAATTTTAAACAAGCAGATTCCAGTTGCATTACAATTCAGTTCTATTTCACTTTTGATTGATTGAGAACCAATAAAACATGATTTCACCCTGGGTGGGTTTGTACCACACAACGTAAGTGTTGTTAACTCCCATATAGCACTAGTAACCAGAATAACCTAGATTGATATATTTCAACAAACTAAATTAAAATATTTAATACGTTTGGATACAAAAGACAGGCATATAATTGTAGGATCGGACTTCAACATAGATTTATTTAAGAAAGACAATAGTTATCATACATTCATTAATGAAATATAAAGTTTTGACCTGAGACCAAATAACAGAGCCTACCAGGATTACAGAGACCTCGAGTACTTGTATAGACAATTTCCTCACAAATTTTAGACCATTAAATGCTTCAACAGTTGAACCACATACAGTATTTCCAATCACCGTGCCATTTCCATTAAAATAAATGTAAATTCAGATCATTCTAATAGACACCATTCAAATCAAAACACAATAGAAAAGAGAAGCATAACCACATAAAATCAAAGAGAATTAAAATTTAGACTAAAGTATGAAAACTGGAATTCTGTGTACTTCTGTGTAAAAAAGTCTACCTTTTTGCCGATGATACAACATTGGTCATGAGGGGGGAGGATGACGAAACTCTGGAAGGCGAGGCAAATTAAAATTCTCAGATCTTTTCAAAGTCTTTGAAGCAAACAAATTCAGTCTAAATCCTCAGAAAACGAACTATTTGTGTTTTCAAACAGCACAAAAGCAAAATTCCAATATAATAGGACTCCGAACCTATTTATAGGAGAGAACCAAATTGAGCAATCTTAACAATTTGATATCAACAGCCTGTAATTTGGTCCAGTAGAATGGTCAGGCTAGATGTCATAAGTTTTGCAAAAGTTTTTTAGTGTATAAGATTGTTATTGTTACCCTATTGACCTGTCCAATTCCTGCCTCTGGACTACAGGTAAGTAAGTAGTTGGTGGACTTTCTCTCTGGATTGTCCATTCTGTAGCAAATGCAGCTGCGTAGAAAGCAAGCCTGTAGTGATTCCAGTGGAGCGTAACATTGTGAACTAAGGACATTACTAAACCTCTTCTATTGTCAACACCTCTACACCTACAATACGGCACATTTAGTCACAACCTTGTTCAAATTGTGTATGGTTGACTCACACCTCAATCTGAAATTTGCCAATAAGGCTTCTTTTAAATGTCTGTCTGTGTATTGTTGATATACATACTGAAGTGACATTTAAAGGTTGATAATACTCTTTAGGTTGCATTGTTATAAAATTAAATAAGGTCCCAAGTGAACTGTAAAAAATGTACTTAACAAAATTAGTTTATGATTTATTTTCAGACATGAGCAGTTTATTGTTTGATTTCTTGTTGAATTTTTTAAAATTTGAAGTATACTTACTCTCACCAACACACTGCCTCCACGTCGTCCTGATCTCTTTTTTTTAAATTATGGATTTATTATTTGAACTATGGAAATGGTTATTAATAATGTGTTTTATTCCTGCATACAAACTCCTACAGATAGAATTGGAACACAATAATTACATTTTTTAGAAAATAAAACGCTATATATATGTCCGTAAGCTCGATAACTCGAGCAAAAATTATCCGATTTTGATGAAATTTGGTATAAACGAGTAAACCTACATTTATTCTAACGAGTTCGCGAACCAGCATGATCGGACAATGCGAACGGGTTTTTATGGGGTAAAAAAAGGTTTTCCCATTTTTTACCCTCTGAACACATTATTTCACAATTTCTTTCCAAACCATTTTGTAGAGATAAAAAAAACAAATAATTTAGTATATTGAAGCATTATTGTGCGCCAAGTGGTTAGGGGGAAAATCCCAAAAAATTTAAAATTCCCATGTTATTCTTATGGAGAATAAGTCAACTGTTGTAGTTTGCTAGTTTATGAACATATTTTGATCAAATTTGGAAAATACATTAATTTCTTACTTAACTATTAACATTTTACAACAAAAACACTTTTTTACCCTCCCTGTTGCAGCAAACCTAAGTAGTCGTTAAACTAATTCTATTTAAATAGGGAATAAATGTGATATTTTTATTGAGGCATTTTAGTGTAAATCCAATCAGGCAAATGGAAATTCGCTAAGTCTGCAGGTTTTCTGTGGTGGGGGTATTTAAAGTTTTTTTGTGTAGGGGGGGTTGTGTACCTTTTGAACACAAAAATCTCATTATTGCTTGTATTATTTTTTTTTCTTTGACTCCTTGTCCTCAGAACGGGTTTTATATAGAGCCTTGTGTTATAAATTTATATGGTGCCCTACCTGCCAAGGGTACAGAATGTTCCCCCCCTGCAAAAATGGAGTATGGACCCTCTCCCAGTAAGTGATGTTTAAAACTAAAGTAGCTTTGAAGGTACTTCAAGGGTCATTTGGAAGTCAAAACAAAGATTTTTGGGAATTTGGGCTCTGGTAGCCAAGCCAGCCTATTTATATATAAATTATTGAAGACTAACTTATCTATTTATTATTATTATAGATATAGAGAAAACTGAACACTCTGCTTGAACTTTCATTTATGCTTGAGCTTGACAGCTAGCTTAAAGGTAGACCATGTATACAGGCTATGTATTTTACCTGGAGTGCCCAGGTAAAATACTTATGTCCAGGTCCAGGAGCACTTCCATGTTGCTAAGGGCTTAGAAGATGATTGCAAGTAATAGGTTTTACTGGGGCTGCTGGATGAAATATACTATTAAATATATATT